TTCTAAAAAGTTCTCCAAATAATGTTCAGCTTGCTGGTCATCAATAATGACATTGGGTTTATCTATATTAAAGTTGTAGTTACTTGTTAACTACTGATACCTTTTTATATTAATTTATGATTATATTTATTTATCTGTAGCGATTTTCTTTATTTTTTGAAGCATACTTTTAGGATGCACGTATACCTAACTATGATTTTTACAATTTCTTTCGTTTAAAAGTGTTAATCTTTATCGAAATCAAATAAATGTTTTTTTATTTCAGACTTGTTTTTAAATTGGTATGTCTAAAAGATACAAATTTATATCAATAAAATAATTCCTAAAAGTATATAACGATTAACCCCAGGTTATCTGCTTTAGTCTTTTAATGTTCTGCCTAAAAGCTTGTAGTCTCATTTCCTTTAGTTTAATTTACTGATTAAAATGGGTTTAATGTTATGGTTTATTCTGGTTAACATATATGAATAGTAAAGGACAATCCAACAAAACATTTTTAAAATTGGATTGTTGTTTCAAGACTTGATATTATTTATTATTACTTATCACGACTATTTAACTAAATAGCTTAACAATAAATTGTTGCCTAAAAGTAATGAAAAATTTGAGGACGATAAACTTGTTTGGTTTTAAGAAATTCCAATAAAATGTATGTCGTACCCAAATTGTAAAAAAAAGTCTACAAAATTGTTGACAAGCAAATGAAACATACTTTTATAATCATTATCATTAGATAGTTTTGATTGCTATTTGTTTTGTTGAAATTATTCTAGTTACTTAAAAAACAGACTGCTGAGGTAAACAAACTTAAATTTGAATGGATATTCACGGCAATCAATCTTTGCGTCAGTGTTCTTTTTTTGCGAAGACTTAAAATACGTTGCATTCAGGCCACAAAAAAAAAAAAAAAAAAACAAATATAGTCAAAGCCTGCAATAAAATTAAATTATACGCACGATTCTTAATGTCAGGTGTCAGCAGAAGTATTTCTAAAACCGTTTCTGCTTGTGTGTTTTTACATAGTTAAATGCAAATATTACGAAATAAGCGGTCAAAGTGATAAAAAAGAAATGAAAAAACAACAGCAATGTGACATTTACATATTAATAGAAGTGTGGGGAAGCAGGGGGAGTGTAGGGGGCCCTGCTATTAAAACATTGCCATTAACGCTCAAGTGCTAATTTTGCAGACCCAGTTGAAGCGGCAGCCAAATATGAGCGGAGACGAGATGAACGTGAAAATGGGGAAAAAACAAAAACAAAAAAACAAGAAACACGAATCCGAGTTCGATTCCTACAGCCGAGTTCAAGCCGGTCTGGCCAAGTTTGGTTTGCGGTGCGTGCGAGTTGGCAACGAACGAAAGCCGGGCCAAAACGGCGGCTGAATGGGCGGCGGACAGCTGGACGGACATCTGGACGGACAGACAGACGGATAGCAGCAGCATCTGGCGCTGACCTTGAAGACGTAAATGTGAAGACGCATCTACATAAATTTCTATGGTAACTCGACGGCTATATCTGTCTGGGTATCTGTTCGTGTATCTCGTGTTTGTGTACTGAAAGCGACAGTCCGAACGAGAAGATATCGAAGCTGAAAAACCTGTCGATTGCGGCTTGATTAGAACAGTTATGTAAATGATTGTGTATAAGGAAGAACTCAGCCCAAACTGGTCGAATTATATCCACTGAATGACAACGCCCCCGCACACAGCGGCAATCATTCCGATTAGCGCGGCGAGCCATCGATCAAAGCCAGATTAATTATGCAAATCCAGCATGATAAATGCAGCTCGTTGCAGATGCCCTCGAAAAGCTGCGGAAAGAGACCCAAATAATATATATTATGCAGCCACGAACCGAGTGGAACCAATTTCAAGGGCTCAAGTTCCCAAGCTCAAGTTCAATTCGTAGGCGGACAGTCTCAATTAATTAAGACTTTAAGTTATAGGATTATTTTGGGAAGTAAATAATTTTTTTAAAGGCTAAACATTTGTTCTCTATTAGAGAGCTTCAAATTCCCCCAAGCCTTTTTATTTTTATAGATTTTTGATTTAAGATAATTTGAGCTCTTTGATTAAGTAATAAAGTTTTGGTTTGACTTTTCTGGTGAATTCATTATTATCACACTATGGTAATATTATTTTTTATTGCTAAATAACAATTCCTATCCCTAATGTCTGTTGGTTTTCAGGAATAGTCTTATACGTGCCTTAATTAAATTATATATTTGTTGATAATGGACTCTAAAAATTATAATTATTCTGCGAAACGAGAAAAAAGCATTTTGCTTAGCTCAAATAATTGGGTGCTAAGAAATCAAGAGAAAAATGTCAAAATGCCAAATTGCAGCTGCCAAAGAATCAGGCAAGAAGTTGCGCTTTAAAGCGGCATTTGAGGAAATGCCAATATCAATGCACAACACCCTGCCGATGATTTCAGACAGAAATAAAGTTGTTGGCGAATTGTGCCAACAGTGGAGGAGGCTGGGGCAGAGCCGTGATCGACCAGAGGCCGACCGATGACCAAAACCAAAACCAAACCAAAGCTAAAACCCGACCGACCGGCTTAAAAGATCCGCTGTTGAGGCTTCTTCATCTTCAACGGCCTGTAGCGGTCAACGAAGGTGGCATGAATTGGCAAACAAAAAACGGCGACTGAAAAACAACAAAAGTCAGAGATTTAAATTGCATGCGAGCCGTAGTTGTAGGTTATTCGATGTATTTTTTTTTTCATAAGACCAACTGCTACCAACTGCTTTTGGCGCTTGTTACCGGGCAGGCACATCAATCGAGCGCTGTAAAGGCCGTTGCATATGCCAAAAGTCAACCTGCGGTTCCATCTCCATCCAAAGTTTCAACCACTGTGCACTTTGGCCATCACACATGGCTCAGCTCGTGTTCTTCGTGTCCGCGGCTTGAACTTGCTGCCCTGCCAATTGGCGTCGACAGCACTTGAACTTAGACTAGAGTCTCTGGCTGGTAGTCGTCTTTGATTTGGGCTTCATCTGGGCGCTGAGCCGTTCTGGTTACTGTTTCCCATGGTTCTTGTCCCGGTATTTCCCCAGAGCTGGCCAATCAGACGGCAACCTTTTCCCCAATACATCTTCTTGAATCATGAACTTTTTCGAGTTTTCTAAAGCTGGTATTCAGCACTCGGAGAAAAAAGAGTCTTAAGTGGACGATTCGACCTAATTATTTGATAATACATTGCATCACAGGTAAACAGAACTCTAAAATTCATGTTTAAGGAGAAAAACATTTTGAAAAGAGTTAAAATATTTCTATATATCATAACAATTTGATTTAAAATTAAAAAAAAAAGGTTGATGTTTAAATGTAATTTTCAAAACATAATTCTTTGTTTATAAAAGTTATGCGATTTGTAAAGTAAAAAAGGACAATGGGATATCTCTTTATGGATTTATAAATTATTTCATAATCAGTTCTGACTCTTTAAAATGTTTATACATGGTTGACTTGTGTAAATAATTTTTTAGATTTAATTTATTAGCTAGTTGGTTATGTTAGTTTACTTATAATTAAACACTAATAAATAAATAGTATTTGTAATAAATAATTGTGGTACAACAGTACAACTTAGAAGAGTGATTTTTGAGTGTGGGTGAAGAGCAGTAATACCATTCGGATGAGTACACTGATGCACAAAGCCGCTTTAAATGTTACTTGTCGCAGCGACTTTGGCGACTTCGGTGCAACGCTGGCAATTGAAAAACAAGGCAAAAAAAAAAAATGGAAATAGAGAAAAACATTTAGTCGGCGACCGCCAGAGCCGCTGAGCTGCTTGGCTTCTTCCACAATTGTGCAAATTTATGACGTTTGCAAATGCGGCTGCGAGTGCAGTATAAAATGCAGTGGACGCCGATGCAACGCCACCATTAGACAACCGCCAGTTTGTCCAGTCGCATAGGGGAATCTGCAATCCGAGAACCGCTCAACATGATGAAATTGGTAGGCCCACTTGGATGACCAGGATGCCCAAAAGGATACCTAATCCCTTGCCTTTCAGATGCTAGTCGTTGGCTCGATGGCCCTGCTCCTGGCGCTGGCCAGTGCCCGGCCCCAAAACGATGTGGAGGTGCTGGAGTACGAGTCGGAGAACATTGGCATCGGAGGCTACAAGTTCAGCTACAAACTGAGTGACGGCACCAGTCGCACGGAGGAGGGCGTGGTCAACAACGCAGGCACCGAGAACGAATCGATATCCATCCGAGGATCCGTCAGCTGGGTGGCTCCCGATGGCCAGACCTACACCATTAACTTTGTGGCCGACGAGAACGGCTTCCAGCCGGAGGGTGCCCATCTGCCCAAGTAGATCAGCGCTCCCGAGGCGACCCTGTAAATACCCCATAACTCAATCCACCACCAACCCGGCCATAGAGTGAGGTGCTGAAGTCCTGTCCGGAGGAGCTGTCCCCTGTCCCGCGGCAGTTTGTCGGCCAGTCAGTTTGTAAGTCGATCAGTCAGTCAAGTCAGTGTCGTGCATTGTTTTTTTTATTCCTTGTTACTCGCATTAAAGCCGAACTTTCGATTCTCGAACAAATCAGTTTTCTTTGTGGCTCCTCAAAGGTGTTTGCTTAGTTCTGGGATTCATATTTTAAAAATAACCATTAATATCTAAACAGGTGGAACCTGATATACAGACGGATTTGATACTTCAGAAAGGACAAGGTAAATATTACTGTATTGGGTGGGAGCAAAGGAGCAAAAATTATAGTTTTCATTCTTTAAAAACATTTAAAACTAAAATCCCAGATGTATAAATTTGATCAATTTATAATTAAATATCTTTGAAAATTTTTACCCAACAACCAGGACATTAATGTTCCCTCCATTAATGTATCTGTATAAAGTACTCCCATTGCTTTGATTCACCATCATGTTTCTATTACGATAAGTAGAATGTCGAACTCTTCATTTCGAAATAATTAATTTGAAATAATTAAAGCTTTAGCTAAATAAAAGTAAAAGCACTTAATATTTGGAAATTAGCACATGTTTTATTGTTTTTCAAGTTATTTTTCTTATTTATAAGTTTCAAAAAGGTAATTATTTGTTCGATTTGTATCTTTGATCCATAGGGTTAACTTTTAACATTTTTAAGTGAAATTCCCTCAGTTCTAGTTAACTTTAAAGATGGGGAATGTGCTCGCCCTGGGGTTGGAAACCGTTCTCGTCGGCCACGTAGGTTATCGCGTAAGTCTGTCCGTCGTCTCCCAAATAGCTATAGGATCCGGCCACCTGAAGAACATCCTCCTCGGGACCCAGGTTCTTGATTGAGCCATGCTGCTCCTGCTTGGTGCCGTCGCTCGTCTCGAATTTGTAGTTATAATTATCGGCATTAACCTCGGACACCAGCTCGACGATTTCTGTGTCCGGGGCAGGCGCTGCTAGGCAAAGAACAATCGAAACGCAGGCGAACACAAGGATGCACTTCATCTTGAGTAATGGTTCCTAAGAGGCTGTCTGGATTCACTCGAGATTCCAACTGCCTGTTTGCAAAACCTTTGGGGGCTTTTATAGGATTGCAACAGCGGAGGCTGAGACAATATCTAATGAAATTAGCACTTAAAGCTAATTCTCTTTAGCTCGATATGACTAGCTTGATCTGAGATCGGGCGGTGATAATTAAATATCTAACAATTGAGGATTAAACGCGTCAAAAAATTGACAGAAATAATTTTGAAGGGTACATACAAAAAACAAAAATAAATATCCATGCCGGTCAAATACTTTTTCTGTTTTTTTTCGATTAAATTTCGATGCAGATAATTTATTAGCTCAAATTTACGTTGTCTTTAAGTCAAGCTAAAAAATTTCTGACTTGACATAAGCAGGGATAATTACTACACGAACATATTAAAAATGTTAAATGTGCTTTTCCATAATATTTAAGTAATATAAGTCTCATACATACGTTTAATGACCAGCACTCTAATTAAAATGCCTTTATGCTTATTTCAGTAATAGTAAAAGCACATTGCTTTTTTTTATTGAAACTATCAACTACTTAATAATTTACTTTGGTAATTGTGGAGGTACAATTCATATAATGTTTGTTTTGTTTGTTAACAACTTGCTCAATTTATTTCATTTTGTATTTTCCACTGAGCGAGTGCAAAAGCTAATTTCGGCAAGCCAATGTTTGAAGTTATATTGAATATTGACGCTACATCATTACCGATTAGAATGATTTTTGAATGAACTGCGTATGACGTGTATAAGAAAGAAAGAAAGCTCAATTTAAGAATGGGTCAACCATTTTATGAGTTGAAACAGCGAAGCAAATTTATCCAATTTTTCTCGGTCCGTCCTACGGCAGCTTTGGGTTTAAGGCGTCCGTCGATTAAGTTCTTTGATTAGTTTTTATACGATTATTTATTTTATACGATTATTTATTTTATTTATAGAGTGTTTTTGTGATGCTTTAAAAACTCAATAATATAATTATCAAATTTTGACTTTGATCTTATTTTACGTTGATATAGTGGAAAACAAAAAATACATATGATAAAACAGAAAAGAGACAGCTATAGTTTACTTGATAAGCAAAATTCAGATGAACAGAATACAGTTGCAAAGCGAATATGACAAACTATATAGAAAATGGTCGATTTACATGTCAACGCTTTTGGCTTTTAACGATTCAGTTGTAGGCCGAAATCCATTTCACACATTTATCGCATTATGTTTTATACACTGACTACACGTTTGACTAGTTTGGCCGCGTTGGGCTCGGTCGACAAATTTTGGCCATCCATCTATAAAAAGGGCGTCCCTGCCATCAGACAGCATCATTCGTCGTGAACTGTTCGATAACCGCAGATCAAAACACCAACCACCAATCACCATGAAATTCCTGATTGTCTTCGTCGCCCTCTTCGCCCTGGCTCTGGCCGCTCCTGCTGATAAGGATAAGGCTTCAATCGTGAGATCGGAATCCGATGTTGGACCCGAAAGCTTCAAATACGAGTAAGTTGATTGAGAGCTGCTTCAACAGGACGCCTAACTGACTTTGCCTTCATTATTAGCTGGGAGACTAGCGATGGCCAGTCGGCTCAGGCCGCGGGTCAGCTGAAGAACATTGGATCCGAAGACGAGGCCATCTCCGTCCAGGGCTCCTACAAGTTCGTGGGTGATGATGGTGTGACCTATGAGGTCACCTACATCGCCGATGAGAACGGATTCCAGCCCCAGGGTGCCCATCTGCCCGTTGCCCCCGAGGCCTAAGTTTAAGGAGTTTAAATAAATTGTTTGTAAAATATTCTAAATTTGTGAGTCTTTTAAATCAATATGTCTGGGCGTGGCCCTGGGTTCTGGGTAGGGGGTACATAGAATCCAATACAGATATTTAAAATAGCTAAGTTACCAAAAATTTAATGTTAAGATATTATTAAGTTATATGAGCCGTTACAAATCACATATATAGTTGTGAAGTATAATCGTTCAATAAACATTTTTAGTGGCGTATTCAATCTTTGGTGTAGCTCACTTTTGAACTACCATATACTCTATCCAACAGAGGTGTTTAACATTTAAGCCCAAAAACAATTAACTCAAACTGCTTAAAACAAAAAGTGCTTTTTTTCGCCAAAAAAAAAAAAAAATTGAGTGGCTAGTCTTTTTTTAGAGATCAATAAATTAAACTGGAATAATGTTAAAATTATTCAAATTTAATTTCCCATTAAATCCATACACAATACAAAAATTAAAAAAATGGGGTAGTAAATAAAATATCTGGCAATTGAATTCTAAATCTTTTAATTAACACTTAAAATAAATATAAAATCGTAACATTTAATACAAAATGATTTCATAAAAAATACTTTAAATACGTGAAAAATATTCGCTTTAAATTATCTTCTATTTGTTTTGAATCCATTTTAAATTTAAATGTACACATTTTTTATTTCAGGTATATAACGCAGATATTAAAATCAGTTCCAAAAATATTCAAATGAAAAAAGTATTTATATTTATAACAATAAAAACCGCAATGGATGAATATGTAGAAAATACTTTATTTACTACGTTTTTTTTTTACAAAAATTCATCACTTAATATTTAAGCAATTATATTTCAATTTTTAAATACAAAAATTGTATGCTTCTATATTCAATTGATTCATTTAAGCTCAACAACGATATATTTAGATAAAGTTAAGTTGTAAAGAAAGATAACAGATATATTAAAATATAATAGTTCCGTTAAAACATTTTATACACAGTAAATATCTGTTAGAATAACATACATACGTCAATGTCTAGTTTCAGATGATTACGCCTTAGAATGTATTTAATAGAGCTTTTGTTTTTGTAAGCTACACGAGCTGATTTGGTATGAGTAAATGTGTTATTTTCTAATTAATACCTAAGTAAATATATCTAAAGAATTTCTTAATTTAAAGGTGAGTGGACTTAACATGGCCGTAAAGTTGAGCCTGCCATATACATTTAGGAAAACATGACCGAAGAAATGACTTACGGTTATTTTTCTTTAATTTGTATGAGAGGAAGTTTGTTTTCTGAGTGTAAGATAAAAATTGTTTAGTCTTCATTGGATTTTGGGTTACTTTTTCGTTGAACCCAGAGCAACGCCCAAACATTGTCATTTAAAAGCCCAACAAAAGATTTTTTTTTATAAACAATTTATTTAAACTCCTTAAACTTAGGCCTCGGGGGCAACGGGCAGATGAGCACCCTGGGGCTGGAATCCGTTCTCATCGGCGATGTAGGTGACCTCGTAGGTCACACCATCATCAGCCACGAACTTGTAGGAGCCCTGGACGGAGATGGCCTCGTTTTCGGATCCAATGTTCTTCAGCTGACCCGCGGCCTGAGCCGACTGGCCATCGCTAGTCTCCCAGCTAATAATGAAGGCAAAGTCAGTTAGGCGTCCTGTTGAAGCAGCTCTCAATCAACTTACTCGTATTTGAAGCTTTCTGGTCCAACATCAGAATTCGATTTCACGATTGAAACATCAGCAGGAGCAGCCAGAGCCACGGCGAAGAGCGCGAGCAGGACGATGGCGAATTTCATGTTGAAGTCGATGTAGATCGTTGAAGACTCAAAGAAAACTATACTATTTTGGCCGTACTGTCTGCCTATTTATAGTCGGCTCATTTGGATGCTGTTTTAGCTGATATGGCGCTACAGCAGCTAAAACTAGTTTAATGCCCTGCAAAGAAGAAACGCGAAAAAACCCATTGAATGCGACTATGAATTTGGAGCCCAATGGGCAGATGGTTGTTAATACACATTGCTGTTCTCAACAAGATTACCTGTTATGCTCTGATGAATAACAAAACCAAAAGTTTCATCCAAAAAAAAACACCCGAATAAAACGTGCTGTTAAATATATGCAGCCCAAAGATATGATGCGTTTGTAAAATAATCAGGTAAAGGAAAATAAAAAATTTAAATATGTCTCTTGATATATTTTTGCGAGCAATTTTTGAAGGTAGACGTTGATTTTGTGGTAAGAGGTGTTAACTGTGCTCAAAATGTTTTACCGCAAAATTTAGGTGGGACTGGGTTGCGATTAGGTTTTGACATAACTAAAAAATAAAACGCAATCCCACTTGATTTTTATTAAAAGTATTAAGTTTTTTGTTGGCTTGATATTGGCTATGATACGGGTTAGGTTATAAATTTCTATTGTAGTCTTTAAGTATTTGTTGTTGTTTTGAGAGCATCGATTCTCCACAAATCTTTTCCGTCGGCGCCGCAAAATCGTAATCACTTCTCCTCGTTTTTCTTAGCAGGCAGAACCAAACATAAAGCAGCAAATATAGCTGACGCAGATTGTTATAGATCCAGCTTTCACTATAAAACGAGTATATTTCGAAGCTAAGTCGATATTCCGGCATATAATGGCAGCACGCATTCTTATAAAATAAATTTCAAAACCAAGTAGCTAAATTTGATGTAGTCGTCGAAATCGTCCCGATCCGACAATAGAAGGACTTTCGGGCAAGTCTCATCCAGATAGCTTTTAAACTGAAAGATCTTATTTAGTGAGTCCATTTTCGTTTTAACAATTTGATTTTTATTTCACATTTTCATTGTATTGATAAACAACTTAAGCGAGTGGAGCCACGGGCAAATGGGCACCCTGGGGCTGGAATCCGTTCTCATCGGCGACGTAGGTGACGGTGAACTTCTCGCCGGTCTTCTCATCCACCCAGGAGTAAGATCCGTGGACGACGGCGGCCTCGTGATCGGTACCAACGTTCTTCAGGACACCATCCTGGTCGATCTTGGTGCCGTCGCTGGTCTCCAGGACGGAGCTCCACTTATCGGGCTGCACATCGGAATCCAGCCTCACAATACCGGCTTCGTTGGGGCGGGCCACGGCCAAGGCGAAGAGGGCGACGAAGACGATGAGGAACTTCATGTTAAGGCTGGATAGAAAGCTGGTGACTGTCTGATGCTCCACTGCAGTTGGGCGGGGGCTTTTATACGCCAAAATTCGCGAAATGCAAATGCCAAATGTAGCTCAAGATTTGGCGAAATGCAAATGAGTTTTGCTAATATTTCTATACCGTTTCAAAAGGTATTTTAATTTTCGCTAGTTGTTCGTAGTGCACAGTAGGAAACATCTTTAACCTTAAATATGTTATATTTCGATCATATTAAGTATATATTCTTATGCTGGATATCACTAGGCGAGACGATTCAAACATATTCAAACAATCACGTCAATTTCATTCAATGCGATTTAATCGAAATATTTATAAGTTATTTATTTACGTTGTTAATTTTTTACGTGGGACAGGTAAAAGTGTGAGTGCCGTAGAATGAAAAAATAAAACGTATTTGTTTTTAAATCTTAAATTTTGTAATTCTGGTTTAAAAATGTCTTCATGGCTTTCTGTATGGTATGCTTAATGATTGAACGGAAAATTATATATAAATGTTTTTGATTGAAGCAGTTTAAGTGATTGAAAAAATTAAATTACCCATGTTCGGGAAAAACAAGACAAATCAGTAATCTTTTATTTTTTTTTCCACTATGACCTATTTTTGTTGCGTTTGGGAGTTAGGCACCTCCGTTCGGAAAGAGAAAACGGCATTTATTTATATTTATATATTTTTTTTATTTCTATTTATATTAATATGTGACAACATATGGATAATTTAATTTTACCTTTTTGGATAGGCTCTTTGCTTCAAATCTTTTCTTTGGTTTTTGTACTGTTTCTCCTGAGCTGAGAACGAGAAAAAGATTTCTGATCCGATCGTCTCTAAATGTCCCTCCTCCTGGCCGTGAATTCAGCTAGGAATCCATTTTCGATTAAACTATCAACAACAGATTCCAATCACGTGATTTGAGCAGCAGGAGCATCCAGTTCCACGGCAAAGGATGTAATCGTTATGGACTAACTATAGCTATTGTAATTAGTCCGCTTAAATGCTTACTTTAGCTTACCTGTCTCTACAGTAAGCAAAAGTATAAGTATAAGTATAAGTATAAACATAAAAAACCCATTGTCATTGATTATTGTCAATATTAATAGGTGTTTTAAATAATATAAAATGTTAAGAATAATAATAAATAGCCACTTATACATTTGTTTTTCTTTATATAATAGTCACTATCTTTAGCATCCTTGATCCATACATAATTTTGATCAAGTTGATATGCGTAGAAAAGACCCTTTGCTTTGCTTTTGCATTTTAAAGAACTCATTTAAAACAGAACATTAAATACATTTAACAAGATAAGATGGAAAACTTAAAGTAAATAGGTACAAAAATATTTTTATACCCTTGCAGAGGGTATTATAATTTCAGTCAGAAGTTTGCAACGCAGTGAAGGAGACATCTCCGACCCTATAAAGTATATATATTCTTGATCAGCATCACTAGGCGAGTCGATCTAGCCATGTCCGTCTGTCCGTCTGTCCGTCCGTCTGTCCGTCTGTCCGTCTGTCCGTCTGTCCGTCTGTCCGTCCGTTTATATGCAAACTAGTCTCTCAGTTTTAAAGCTATCTGCATGAAACTTTCCCAAAAGTTGTCTTTCTATTGCAGGTAGTATATAAGTCGGAACGAGCCGGATCGGACGACTATAGCATATAGCTCCCATAGGAACAATCGGAAAAATAAATGAAAAAATTATAACTTTGCTGTTTTTTAATTTTTTGTTTAGTTCTTCGAAATATAGCAATGGTTAAATATTTCAGAATTATGGTTTAAATTTCATCAAAATCGGACGACTATAGCATATAGCTCCCATAGGAACAATCGGAAAAATAATTGAAAAAAAATTATAACTTTGCTGTTTTTTAATTTTTTGTTTTGTTCTTCGACATTTAGTAATGGTTAAATATTTCAGAATTATGGTAAAAATTTCATCAAAATCGGACTACAATAGCACATAGCTCCCATAGGAACAATCGGAAAAATAAATGAAAAATACTTATAACTTTTCTGTTTTTTACTTTTTTGTTTAGCCCTTCGACATAAAGCAATGGTTAAATATTTTCGATTTACGGTTTAAATTTCATCAAAGTCGGACGACTATATCATATAGCTCCCATAGGAACAATCGGAGAAATAAATGAAAAAAAATTATAACTTTTCTGTTTTTTAATTTTTTGTTTAGTTCTTCGACATTTAGTAATGGTTAAATATTTCCAATTTACGGTTTAAGTTTCATCAAAGTCGGACGACTATATCATATAGCTCCCATAGGAACAATAAAAAATATAAAATAACTATCAAATAATTGAGCTGCAAATCATCATAGCTTCAATGTTTTTAAACTTATACGCAAGTAAATTATAATTTTAATGTTTTCAAAAATGTTTAATTCTTGCAATAGCTGCAAGGGTATATGAACTTCGACTTGCCGAAGTTTGCTTTCTTTCTTGTTAAATTAGATTTAAAAAGCTACTACTTTACTACTATTTTTTGTTAATTATATTTAAGTAAGTACTGTCTTTTGTAATGTCTGATTATTAGTTCCATTCTGCATTGCAAGTTTAGTTAAGTTATTGAAAGAAATGTGTGACCCATAGTCGATCAAAATACCTATCAGATATCTTTTTTTCCCAGGAGAAATAGTGAGTTAAAATTAGTTTCAAGCTATTTGTTTTATTTTTTTACATTTTTATCGTATTGGAGAACAACTTAAGCAGTTGGGGCCACGGGCAAATGGGCTCCCTGGGGCTGGAATCCGTTCTCATCGGCGACGTAGGTGACGGTGAACTTCTCGCCGGTCTTCTCATCCACCCAGGAGTAAGATCCGTGGACAACGGCGGCCTCGTGCTCGGTACCAACGTCCTTCAGGACACCATCCTGGTCGATCTTGGTGCCGTCGCTAGTCTCCAGGACGGAGCTCCACTTATCGGGCTGCACATCCGAATCCTGCCTCACAATTCCGGCTTCGTTGGGGCGGGCCACGGCCAAGGCGAAGAGGGCGACGAAGACGATGAGGAACTTCATGTTGGAGATGGGTGGTGTTTGTTAGATAGCTGGGAACTGTCTGATGCTCAACTGCAATGGGGTGGAGTATTTTATACGATTTGCGAATTGCGAATTGCAAAAGTCAAAGGTGAAATAAGTCATTGAGCGAATTTGCCAAAAATTATGCCAACCGATATTAATGCTTCGACAATAGTATCGCGGATTTATTTGCATCTGTTCCGGTCAAACTGGAAATTAAAGCAGCGGCTGCACTCCAATAACTAAGTTAGCAGCCAAAACTGAAGCTCAAGCAGAAAGCGAAACTGAATCCGAACTATTGTCGTCGAACCAGCTGGACCAGTGCATCCGCAATAAAATCAACTTGCTAACACAAAATCTAAGGCCAAGATCATGCCGATGTTTTCCATGTTGTCATGGAAGGCAAGTTCATCGATTGTGCACATCAATTTTAGTCATATTTAGCTTTTAATAAGTGGGTACACTGCGAGCAGGGGAGTCGGTTTTCGTTATAAACAATTTATTCAAATCAAAAAATATCTTTAAAGAATTGTATTATATAATCAACTTATCGAATTTTTACTAATCTTAAAAAGCAATGTGGAATTTAATGCCGACGACCTGGGCTTAATTTCCCATATTTAAATGTAATATTATTTATTGTTACGGAAAATCAAAACAACTTCAATGTTTTTAGACAAAGGTATGCTTCTAAAAAAAAATATATGTGCAGTTTTAATGAATATAATATTGTTTTCATATAATTAATAAACAATCCAATATTTCCAACTCCGAATTAATAAATTTGAACTGGAACAGCCTAACACAAAGATACAGTTAAATTTAATTAAAGCATATATTGTTTATTTAAATTGTCAAATACAGAAATCATAAACAAAATTCTATCAACGAAATATCAACAAAATCAAAATACCTGCGTCTTAAAAATTTGATAAGATATATATATTTTTTTTTTCTGTGCAAATTCATGCTCTAAAACGTATTTGTTATTGAATTATTGTTCTTGTTTTAGCCAAGAAATGAAAAATATCCCCATTATTTTTAACTGGCCAAGAAGTTTTTTTTTATTGTTTCACTTAAATTTAATTCAATATGACCTTATATTAATATGTGCATAAAACCCTTATTCATCATCAGATAGCGGTTAGCTGCATGTATCCATTCGAAGTGCTGGGTTTTTGTTTAAGGGTGCCAGAATCAAATAAAAACGCTTCCGAGTTTTTGCAATTAAAAATCAATTTATTTTAGTCTTTTAAATAGTTTAAGCAGCTGGGGCCACGGGCAAATGGGCACCCTGGGGCTGGAATCCGTTCTCATCGGCGACGTAGGTGACGGTGAACTTCTCGCCGGTCTTCTCATCCACCCAGGAGTAAGATCCGTGGACGACGGCGGCCTCGTGCTCGGTACCAACGTTCTTCAGGACACCATCCTGGTCGATCTTGGTGCCGTCGCTGGTCTCCAGGACGGAGCTCCACTTATCGGGCTGCACATCGGAATCCAGCCTCACAATACCGGCTTCGTTGGGGCGGGCCACGGCCAAGGCGAAGAGGGCGACGAAGACGATGAGGAACTTCATGTTAAGGCTGGATAGAAAGCTGGTGACTGTCTGATGCTCCACTGCAGTTGGGCGGGGGCTTTTATACGCCAAAATTCGCGAAATGCAAATGCCAAATGTAGCTCAAGATTTGGCGAAATGCAAATGAGTTTTGCTAATATTTGTATACCGTTTCAAAAGGGGTTTCAGTTTTGAAGAGATGTTCGTATCGCACAGTTAGAGACATTCAATATCCAATAGTTTATTGTGTTCCGATCCAACTAAGTATATATGTTCTTGATCGCCAACACAAAGCAAGACGATTCAAACATGTAGGTCAATCTGTTTCCATGCGATTTAATCATAAGCATTTACAAACATTTTTAGTTGCTTCTAGATTTTGTAACTAATGAAGTTTAATGAAGCTTTGTGTTTGGACACTAACCAAAAATAAATAAATTTAATTTTTAAATAATTAATAAATCTAGCGAAGGTAGACAATAAAGTTATGTGAAACTAGTTCAATGTTATTTATTATAGTGTCAAAATTGTACGCCTTGTGCAGCTAAGATATAAACATTTATTGAGACTTAAAGCCTCAAGAAAAATATTGATAGTTTATTTTTTCTGTTCTTATACACAAGAAAGTATTTAAAATTAATTGAATAAGATTTAAATTGAATAACAAAAAAGCAACAAAATTAATAAATGTATTTTATTAAATCCATATTTATTTGTATTATTTTATAATCAATAATAAAACATTTGTAACAAACTTGTAATTAAGTTACAACCACAGAGTTAAAATCATATTGACTGAAATAATCATCTTATAAGCTTAAATTTTCAGATAAATAATATCTGTTGACGGACGTCCACGTAGTGACAATGAGCATCGGTAAGTGTACGCAAGAGGAAATGGTGCTGGAAATGCGAAAAAAAATGTTTTTGAATTTTAGAGTTGTTCGGGTGGAGTAAAAGTCCTACTTTATTTATCATATTTAAATAAAATTATTACTAACTTCTAATTAAAATAAATAACATATTGATATCCGAAATTTTTGGAGTTGGGTTCTCGCTTTTTTGATCCCAAAATAAACCAAATTATGAAATTATTTGTATATCCATGCAGAGGGTATTATAATTCCACGCAGTGAAAGAGACATTTTCGACCCTGTAAAACATATATACTCTTGATCAGTCTGGCCATGTCCGTCTGTCTGTTAATCCGTTTCTACGCAAACTTGTGTCGCAGTTTTAAAGTGTTCAGCGTGAAACTCTCACAAAAGTTGTATTGCTGTTGCAGGTAGTTTAGAAGTCTGAACTAGCCGGATCGGAAAGGAAAAAAATATAACTTTGCTGTTTTATAATTTTATTTATTTTAAATTCTGTATTTTTCCCTCTTCTTAGTTTTTTTGGATAGGAATAGTTTAATAATTTACGCGTTTAATTGTGTTCAAATCGGAAAACGGTATCATATAGCTGCCATAGCAACGATAGAGTAGTTTAGTTGGCCCGTAGTAACATAATTGAAAAACGTTTTTCGTTGAGCACCCCAAAAATGATCAAAAATCTTTTCGAATATTTGCAATTAACAATCGATTTATTTTAGACTCTGAATAAACAAATTTCGTTTTGTGATCAAGGACAGTTTAAGCAGCTGGGGCCACGGGCAAATGGGCACCCTGGGGCTGGTATCCGTTCTCATCGGCGACGTAGGTGACGGTGAACTTCTCGCCGGTCTTCTCATCCACCCAGGAGAAGGATCCGTGGACGACGGCGGCCTCGTGCTCGGTACCAATGTCCTTCAGGTTACCTTGCTGGTCGATCTTGGTGCCGTCGCTGGTCTCCAGGTTGGAGCTCCACTTGTCGGGCTGCACATCGGCATCCAGCCTCACGATCTGGGCTTCGTTGGGGCGGGCCACGGCCATGGCGAAAAGGGCGACGAAGACGATGAGGAACTTCATGTTAAGGCTGGATAGAAAGCTGGTGACTGTCTGATGCTCCACTGCAGTTGGGCGGGGGCTTTTATACGCCAAAATTCGCGAAAATGCAAAAGTCAAAGGTGGCAATGAATTCGGCGGATTGCAAATGAGTTCTGCTAATATTTATGTAGATCTGTGCCGATCATGAGCGCATCGTTATTTCAGCATTGTTTCCGGTCAAACTGGACTGGTCGCGTCAAACTATTGTCGTCCAACCGGCTGCATTCGATGGCTGCGTTTGGGTGCGGATGAAAGGGGTGAGTCCACCGGTCGCTGATCTTTCGAGCAACCTAGAGCTTTTATTTTATACGTCTTATATTATTTCTATTCCGCAGAAGAGTCTTTTTAATTGCTATAACAAATGCATGCTGACAATGGAAACGGCTTTATGTATCTCACATACTATGGTTTATATTACTGTCGCCATTAAAGTAGTTCATGTCTTTTTAATTAGCACAAATCACATGTATGAAGCAGTTTACCAAAATGTACGAAACTGAACTGACTCCTTAAGCTAATTTGAATTTAGTTGCTTTTTTACTATTTTTTGGAGCCATTTTTAAGTTTATCTAAATAAATGTTTGATAGCTATGAGTACTTATAAAAACTATATATTTTTTTTTTAATTTGTTTGCACACTTCACTATTTTTATTTAATTTGTTTATTGAAGTAAAACTCTGTAATATCTAAATATTTTTTGAATGAACCAATAAATGTTCAGGCCATCTCCGATAGAAAGGGAAATCGTTCATTATAAAACGAACATAGTTTTAGCCATATACTTTTGTAATTATCACCAACAAAAATGTTTGAAGATTTGATCTTTTGTAGTCGACTTATGTAGGGTTCTCATCATTCTGAATATATTCCTACCTTGATGTTTTTATTCATATGATTTTTGAATTTTTGTTTAGTTTGCTCATTTTGACAATTATCTTTGAAAACTGATCAAGATTTAATGTATGTAAGGTAATTCACTATTTTGTCTATCACTAAAAAGAAACAAAAATTGACTTGTCGTACTGCACAAAAGAGCAAAACTGAAATATCTGCAAATGTATTGATTGAAGGGGAAAGTAAGCAGTCGGGGACTTGTTCGATTTTCTTGCCGCGTTTATTTAATAATCAACTAGAAACCATATACATAGAACAGCTCTCGGTTAGCGAATCGGTGTCCGTATCCGCTTAGTTGCTGATGGGCACATTGGGCAGATGGGCACCCTCGGGCTGGAATCCGTTCTCATCGGCGACGTAGTTGACGGTGTAGGTCTGTCCATCATCGGCCACGAAGGAGTAGGATCCGCGGACCACGATGGCCTCCTGCTCGGTGCCCACGTTCTTCAGCTGGCCCTGCTCCTCGTGCTTCTTGCCATCGCTGGTCTCCAAACTGCAGGGGAGAATGGGAGTTTAATCCGGGTTTACGTCTGGCTCGGCCAGTAATGACTGGCCCTCGGGGACTTACGCAAAGTTGTAGCCCTCGGGCTGGACATCCGACTCCAGGCGCAGGATCTGGGCTTCCGCATCGGGGGCGGGGGCGGCCAGGACGACGGCGAAGAGGGCGGCGAAGACGATGGCGACTGTGCACTTCATGGTTATTTTTGTTTTTTGAGTTTGGGTTGATTGGTTGAGGATTCGTTGGGAACTTGCGACCGAACGGCTAGTCAACGTTACTTGATTTGTGATGTTTATGGCCCTGTCCAGACGTTTATATAGTCGGATCGGAGGCCGCCAATCGAAGAAAAGTCAGTCGAAAATAAAAATGACTAATTACACGCCGAGCACCAAAGCCAACAAATTGGCTTGAAAAACGCACAAAAACAACACGAAAAAGCACAACAACCATACCACGGCACAAATAATAACGTAAAACAAAAACTTCTAAGGCAAACAAATCGACGCCGTTTTTAGGAAATACCTCATCATCATCATTTGCATTTTTCGTGAATCAATCAATCCAATCGCTTCCAAGTCGAAGACAACGAGCCAAACATTTTTGATAATCCATGGGTATTTTGTATATTTTGTGGCAGACTGGGACAGGTAACTTGCCCTGCAGCAATAGAAGCGTCGAGCTCAGAAAACATTGGTGGATCAAATCAAAAGCGTGTTTTGGATAAAAAATGGGCAGCTAATCAATGAAAATTAGCAACAAGTGCATTTCTCTAAAAATAAACGACATCGAACGAAACAGGAAATCTTAGAACGCTTTAAATGATTACAATTTAAGACTTTACTAGTTAAGACTTTAAACAAAATGTAAATATGATCGGCAGAAGAGTTTTTTTCTAACCATCATCTTTTGCTATTTTTAAAACTAAACAAAATCTTTATTTCAATCGAAACTGTAAATAAAGGAAAATCTTTTGCCTGTGCCAAATTTGTTATACCCTTGCAGAGGGTATTATAATTTCAGTCAGAAGTTTGCAACGCAGTGAAGGAGACATCTCCGACCCTATAAAGTATATATATTCTTGATCAGCATCACTAGGCGAGTCGATCTAGCCATGTCCGTCTGTCCGTCTGTCCGTCTGTCCGTCTGTCCGTCTGTCCGTCTGTCCGTCCGTTTATATGCAAACTAGTCTCTCAGTTTTAAAGCTATCTGCATGAAACTTTCCCAGAAGTTGTCTTTCTATTGCAGGTAGTATATAAGTCGGAACGAGCCGGATCGGACGACTATAGCATATAGCTCCCATAGGAACAATCGGAAAAATAAATGAAAAAAATTATAACTTTGCTGTTTTTTAATTTTTTGTTTAGTTCTTCGACATTTAGTAATGGTTAAATATTTCCGATTTACGGTTTAAATTTCATCAAAATCGGACGACTATAGCATATAGCTCCCATAGGAACAATCGGAAAAATAAATGAAAAAAAATTATAATTTTGCTGTTTTTTAATTTTTTGTTTAGTTCTTCGAGATATAGTAATGGTTAAGTATTTCAGAATTATGTTTTAATTTTCAGCAAAATCGGACGACTATAGCATATAGCTCCAACAATCGGAAAAATAAATGAAAAAAAAATTATAACTTTTCTGTTTTTTAATTTTTTGTTTAGTTCTTCGACATATAGCAATGTTTAATTATTTCAGAATTATGGTTTAAATTTTATCAAAATCGGACGTCTATATCATATAGCTCCCATAGAAATAATAAAAATATATAAAATAACTATCTTATAATTGAGCTGCAAATCATCATAGTTTCAATGTTTTTCAGCATATACTCAAGTAAATCATAATTTAAATATTTTCAAAAGTATTTAATTCATGCAATAGCTGCAAGGGTATATGAACTTCGGCTTGCCGAAGTTTGCTTTCTTTCTTGTTTTTATGTTGTATTTAGTTTGTAATTTTTAATCGTCTACAGTTTAAGAAGTTTATTGTTTATGATTTTTATATAATATACTATATTTAGAAGAAAAGTTAAATCTTTTACTGAGTTACATTTTATTCAATAAAACCCCGATAAAAGAGTATTTAACAATTATTCATTAGATTCCACTAAAAGAGTTTAAAATAGGCAGATTTTAGAGAAAGATAAGTATTTACATGCGGGAATTGAACTATGACTAAGTCTTTATAAGAACTATTTAGCTAAAAATTCATAAGTTAAAATTATACACTAAACTTTCGTTTAACACAAAATTCTTAATTACTCTTTAATTATGACTAAGTCTTCTTGTTTAAGTGTAATTAGTTTAAGTGTAGAAACAAATCATGGTAAAGTTTAATGGTTTTAATTCTTACCATTTAAGCTAATTTATATAAGGTTATTGCAATTTAAATTCCCAATTAAAAGACCAAACTAATTCATGAAATGAGTGATTTTATTTTATTACATTGATGCTTTTCAGCTGAAACTTAAACATAGTTAACACAATTATGCTGGACTGGAACTAGATTGGCGAAGGACTTTCGATCGGGTTCCTCGTGGGAGTCTGGATTCGAATTATTGAACAGCCCTGGGCAGATGGGCACCTTCCGGCTGGAATCCGTTCTCATCAGCCAGGTAGTTAATGGTGTAGGTCTGGCCATCGTCACCCACATAGGCGTAGGATCCGCGGACCACAATGGCCTCGTGGTCAGTGCCCACGTCCTTCAGCTGGCCCTCCTCCTGGTGCGACTTGCCGTCACTTGTCTCCACGCTAAAGAAAACCAGAAACCAGTTAGCAAGCGACCTTGACACAGTTGGGAATATGGGTAACTGGGGATCGGGGGATCTGGGGATCAGGGGATCTGGGGATCACTTACGCGAACTTGTAGCCCTCGGGCTGGACGTCGCTGTCGAAACGGAGCACCTGGGCTTCCTGCTGGCTGGCCGGAGGAGCTGCCAGGACGCAGGCAAGAAGGCAGGTGAAGGCGATGGCAATGGTGAACTTCATCTTGGAGTTGGGTTGACTGAATTACTTGGCTCAAGTGCTGGGTTCGAGGAGCTTGCAGGCAATGCTTGCAATTCGCTCGGTGAGTGGCCAATTTATACTCCTTGGGCCATGTAATGCAATGCGTGTAAGTGGCAATTATCGGCGCAAAAGAAACCGAGATCCAAAAGAGTGAGAGTGGGAGTGGGAGAAACCAGTTTCTCGTTTTGTTTCCTTTGACCCACACTGGTTACCTAACCAGTTGCTGGATGCTTTGGCTTCGGCTCGGCTTTTAGCCCGGTTCGCTGTTTTGCGATTGATTGATTGCCCAGCGACAAGATACACAGATTTCATTTGTCTTCAACAAATTAACTACAAAGTGCGCCCTGCCCAGGCAATGAGTTGCGTTAGTTGGGCTAAGAAATAGTCAATAAACTGGGGAATTGGGTCACAGCGAATATGGCTCAAGTGCAGGCGAAATGCTCGGCCTAATAAAAAAAGACTTTGCCATTTCCAATTTCAATGTCGCTGGAATAAAGATTTCCGTGGGATCTGTACAATAGTTTACATGTTTATATGCCAGTCTCGGTAGCTGCTTTCTGACTCTAAAGTTATAGTAGACATGGGTAAATATGTACATAAGAGTAGTTTTAAGACCCCCCGAAATTAGTCAAGACTTAAAGCATTATTGTCATTTGCTGAATAAAAAAATGGACAAGAAAGAAAAAATAGCTGACTACTGAATTCAACATTTTCTAGTTATTATTTAAATTCAATATTAAATCATAGTGTGTAATACAATGTATTTTAAATTTAATGTTGAACATTTTATTTAAGTGCATTTTTAATTATTTTAAATATGGCTTAAATTTAAATGAAATTATCAGATATTAATATCAATTTCAAAAGTAGTTGTATAAAACATTTTACAAAATTTTAATATTTTAATATTTTTAATATTTAATAACTAAATCAAAGTGAATAATATTTAAATTGAGTACAAATTAGTTGTATTTACTTTTTTTTTACCAGTTTGCAATTTTGTGTTATTTAAATAATTTTCTTTATAATTTTTGTCGACCAATGGCACAAACGACTTTAATGCTTTTGTGAATTATCCAATAGTTTTAAACCCTCTTTTATAATTCTAATTTTTTTTTGATTAACTAAATTAAGTAGTAAAAGTATGGAAGAAATTTTGAAATTAGGTAAAAAGGATAGGTATAGGAATTCTTAAAGTACAATCAAAGTTAAATGCGTTTTAATGGATTTAGAATGTGTTTAAAATTATAAATGACAGAAACCCAACCAATGGTATAGCTATTAATTAGAAAACAATAAAAATACAAAGTAAAAAAAAGTTTCGCCCAAAATAATTATTTTCTTCGCAGAAATTTAGAAGACCAAGTTTAAACAATTATGAACCCAAGTGTTTAGAAGCTTCAAAAATCAAACAAACGCCTTTAGCGATTTTAGAGGGTTAAGGCAACACCATTTGAACTTTTTGGAGCGTCTTCGCAGCAAATTGTTTGCTTTCAATTTCATTTGGACTTGATTTGCCTGCTGCTTGGCAGCCACTCGAGTCATTTGGATATTCGCATTTTATTACACACTCCGTTAATTAGCCTGGCTTTTGCGTTGGGCTCAGTATGGATTGCATGTGGATATATTGAATGGCCTTTGCGCAATCCGAGTTAGTCGCATGCCCGGATCGGGACAGGACAGGTGATAGATGGCCGGATTAACACTACTGTTCGGCCTTATCCTGGCCAGCTTCTGCGCTTGCCCCTCAAATGCCGCCGAGACCGGCCAGACCGCCCAGATTCTGCGATACGAGAATGCCCATTTGGACAGCGATGGCTATGCCTTCTCGTAAGTAGGTGGCTTAGGGTCAAGGCCAAGATCGGTATAAATAGCTCTCAGAAACTTCCCTGTAGATTCGAGACCAGCGATGGAATCTCGCGTGAGGAGAAGGCCACTCTGAAAAATCCCGGTACCCCCGAAGAGGCCATCGCCGTCCAGGGCAGCGTCAATTGGGTGGGACCCGATGGCGTCCACTATAAGCTTAATTATCTGGCCGACGAGAACGGCTTCCAGGCCCAGGGCGAACATCTTCCGCAGGTGGAGCACTGATCACGTGATAGCTTTGGACTTTGTTAGAAAAAAAAAAAAACAAAAGTAAAACCACCGAATAGCTGGAGGAGGCGGGCATACAATAGAAATTAAATACACAATAAAAGAATATATACAGATATTTATATACAGATATTTATATACAGATATATATATATATATATATATATATATATATATATATATATATATATATATATATATATATGTATGCTAAGTATATGGCGGGGCATAAATTTTCACCCATCCAAATTGAATTGTATTCTAGGTAGGGAATTAGCATATACGTTTGTATCTTCCAAACCCGTTTGCTCTTCGCGCCTGAGTTGTGAACTGTATGCCGTAACCGAGAAGCTGCGATCTTCGATCCCCTGATCTCCAATCTACGGCAGCTGACCAAACCGGTTCAATAAACGCCAAAAAGCACCCAACAAAAGTTGCCAAAAAATACAGAAAAAAAACTAAATTGAAGAAGCTACATAGCTGCCAACGAAAGTGAGAACTCCGGGAAAAGAGGCATTTTAAGGCAATTAACCCAGGCTCCTCTCATTTATCAATGTAAACTGCAAAATAATCAGTCCTGTCTTAGCCTAGACATGTCAACCTACACAGAGGAAAATTGTTAAATGGTTGAGACAAATACTGGATAAAAAAAAGTTTAGTTAAAAATTGTCTGGGAAAAAAATACAGTCAAGTCAAAAGTATATTTTTCTCAAACACCAATCGATATGTTACGAAAAAAGTGAAAAAATATAAAAAATATCATAATTTTAATAGGAAACAAGCAAACAATAATTTTAAAAGTATAAATAAATTTAAGTGCTTTTTAGTAAAATAATAAGATCTATAAAAATACATGTTAAAGAATTTGAATTACTTAATTAACTTAAAATCTTGTTTACAATAATACTCATTTATAACTAAAATCATCTAGTTTATAATATTATTATTTGTTTTGAATTACAATAAATAAATATATAAAACAATTCGAACAAAAATTTGTTTCTTTACTTTATATTAATCTATTATTCTTTGCGCCTTTTGATTTTCATCTACTTCTTGCTGTGTACCAGTCAAAGTTTTCTAAATGATATGATAAATGATAATAATATACTACGGCAAATGACCTGCAATAGCATTACGTATACGCCCCGTTGTATTGTAGGGCATAGCCCAGCCTCAGTCGGCTGATCTTTGTATTGGCTTTTGTTGTCTGTTTAGCTGGTAAAAAATCGTTTTTATTTTATTGACTAAGGTCATCAGCCAACACTCGGGCTGCTGACGATGGAGCTGGCGCTGGAGATGTAGATGGAGATGGCGATGATGATGATGATGATGAGCCGCGTAATCTTGAATCTCTCGTGCCGCATCTTCACTTGAACAGCAAATGCAGCTGACAAGCCATGGCGTTGGAGGTTTTTGTTTCGTTTCGTTTCGATTTCATTCGAGATTTTTGGAGGTTAAATCGCCCAGCCTTAATCGGAAATTGTGTCAGTAGTTAACAAAGCTCAGGGCGGAAATGCTTGGATATCTCCCAACAAGTTGCAGTTTGGTAATTGAAGAATTAAATTATTAAGGAAATACCCGCTCATAAAACATAAACTAAGCATCTATATCGTGTGCAATTAAATCTCAAGCTCATGGGAATTCCGCGAATCACTGAACTCGCTTCTTCTCCCGTTCTTTGCTTAATTTCCTGAACACATTTTGACTAGTTAACCTGTCTTCACTTCCTCACTGCTCAGTTGTCTTGGGCTGCTAAAATCCAACCCATTTTTTTTTTTGTTGGACTCGGCTAATCTTTTTCAACACAATTTGTTGATAAGAGCAAACATAGCCATTGACCTATTGCCACAGATCTAAATGTGTGTGCCTGTGTACTTGTAGACAAACACGCGCATTGGCCAAATATTTATTTTTTAAGAGGCCCAAACATTTCATTATCACTTGCTCCATCATCTTCAGATTCGATTTTACTTTCAGCTCCCGTGGCGGGGCAATCGAGATGAGATTCGAGCGCACATCAAACGCTTAATGGTCTTTATATTTTTTTGGCTTGTTCAATTAAAAGCTTAAGACACTCACGCTCACACACAGTTGCCTTCAATTATATGCGTATGGGTAGATAATTGTGTTAGCATTTAAGGTGTTTTTTATGGGCTACCTCAACTTCACGGATCACATGTCGCTGTGTGTGTGTGTGTGTGTGGTTGGTAGCATTTGGAGTGTTGGCCTGGCCAGTTATAAATAGCTCAACACTCATTACAGGGCGCCACATTACTCGTTAGTGCCTAATTGTGATAACTACCGGAGCGTGCAGTGCAAACTGAAAACCAAACCCAACACAGGACCTTTTGGAAAGTTTTAAGAAAAAAAAAACAAACCAAGTAAACATGCAGTCCTCCAGCATTTGTGTCCTGGCTGTATGCGCCTTCGTTCTGGTTTCCTCCATCAGTGCAGCTCCTTTGGATGACTCGCAACATGCCACCATCCTGCGCTACGACAACGACAACATCGGCACTGACGGCTACAACTTCGGGTGAGTGTGAAACGGATTACTACAACAGTATTACACCGAGGATTGAGTTTAAAAATTATAAAAATTGTAAGGTCTAAGCTAGTAAAGAAAAAAGTGCTTTTCCAAAAAGGGTTCATTTGTACTTAAGTAACTTAGGTATTTATATATTTCGAAAATTCCTAATGCTCATTTTAATTTAAATAAATATTCAAATTTAAAATATTAATAAGCTCTGCTAAAAGAAAATAAAACGGATCTTTTTATGGTGAACTTAAGTTAAATATTTTTATTCTGCATAACATATATAAAAAGGATTTTTTCTAAATATGAGCAGATAAGTGTTTTAAGGTTATTAGATTATGGCTTGATGTTAATTTGATGAAATTTAAAATATTAGAAAATGTTAAAATAATAACAAGTTTACAATTTACAAAATTGGTTAATTGATAAAATACGCATATAATTAAAATAACGAAGCCTTTAATGTAACGCAGTTTTATGGCAACTTATTGAATAACTGGAAATGCTATCTTCCATTTCAGTTACGAGACCAGTGATGGAGTCACCCGCCAGGAGCAGGCTGAGCTGAAGAACGCCGGCACTGACCAGGAGGCACTCAGCGTCCGTGGTTCCGTCAGCTGGGTGGCTCCCGATGGACAGACCTACACTCTGCACTATATTGCCGATGAGAACGGTTTCCAGCCCCAGGGCGATCATCTGCCTCACAACTGAAAACAGTCATTTGGTTTAGCCAGCATTAATCAGTATTTGTTCATTATGTAAAATAAATCAAGTCTTAAACTACAAAAATTTGTTCGCGTTTTTTATCTATCTAAAGAAAGTGCCTTGTTAAAGTTAGAACGGCCCTTGAACCCGGATCACTATGCGATCACTTTGCTAAATATGATATTTATAGTAGGGCTACAAATATCCATAACGCGTTCCAAGCGAAACGAAAAGAAAAGTATGACGCAAGTGGTGGTAGATGAACAGGCTCTCTTTTGTTCTCTTCACATTTTCCATACGCACCGTTGGACGTCGCAATGCGGTATGCCTCGTCTTGTCTGGCGACTTCGCCTGGATGGCCTTCGGCCGGCAGAAATTTGCAAATTTTTGGCACGACGAAACTTGTTTGGGTTTTTGTTGTCTTTGTAATTAATACATAATTAAAGTGGCGCATATTGAAATATGTGCGAGCTATCTGGCCACAAATGAAAACGAAGTTTTGAAGGTTAATTTCAGGCGTTGATTTAAATTTCATGCGATGCTAATGAAATTTGGAAGATGCTCGACAAAAACAACATAGAGCACACAGAGCCAAGCGGGCATATTAATTTGCATGAAATAAAAAGCGACAATGGTCAAACTAGTTTTGGAATAAACCGATCGACCGCATTGACTTCGGCTGTAGCTTCTTTAAGCTGGCTCAGCTGCTGACGTAGTTGCTATGTCCAATTGTGGGTTGAACACTCTTTGGCTTATGTCTTTTTATTTTACATATCCATTATCAGTGGATAGAACTTTTGGCTGCCGTTACCTAAAATTGAAGAAAATAAAAATATGTATAATTTGCAGGGCCTTGTAGGTAAATTTAAAAATTTGGGTCGATTTAATGCTGTTTGGTAGGAAAAGTCATATAAAAAGTATTAATAAATTATTTAATTAAAGTTCTGATTAATCTGTATTTTTATATCTCTTATTTAATTTAATTGTGATTTTTGTATCAATGATTTTATCATTTCAGGTGGTTCAAGCTTCACTTAATGAGAGGCATAATATGCAGCTAAGCGAGAATAGGCATCGCATTAAAGCTATTTAAATAAACATCCAAATGCATTTTCTGGGCAATTCCACGCACGGTGTAGCCTTTTAGTCATATAATATAAATTTATTTTAATTCCTGTTTAGTTAAGATCTCGGGAACTATAAATTCCTCCCACAAATAAAAAAAAATTTGAGACGACTACGTTTTTGCTATGATGTGAATTATGCGTATAAATATTAAGCAAACTTGAAAAACAGACCTAACGTTCTTATATGTTTATTTAAAGTACTATCTACATTCATTCTGCTTTTGGTCATTTGTTGTTATTGATTAAAATGGCTCTATAAATGGATATGCAAAATTTAAGTTAATATTATTCATATATAGTTTAATTTGCAGCATAATAAGCAGCTAAATCAGCAAGCTTCGCATTGAGCTATGTAGGTGCCCAAACACGTTTCCCATTGCATTTAGCGAAAAAATGAACCGATTAGCAAACCATTTATGCTCGCAATGCAAATTGCATCTCGGATTAGTATGTCATTTATGTATAAAAGTGTTCAACCTGCAGCCAATCGATATCATTCGCATCGAACTCTTCGAGATCAGCAAACGAGCAAAAATTAAAATGAAGTTCCTGATTGTCTTCGTCGCCCTCTTCGCCGTGGCTCTGGCAGCTCCTACTTCCGAAATCCTGCGATCGGAATCCGATGTTGGACCCGAAAGCTTCAAATACGAGTAAGTTGATTGAGAGCTGCTTAAAAAGGATACCAAACTGACTTTGTCTTCATTATTAGCTGGGAAACTAGCGATGGCCAGGCTGCTCAAGCCGTGGGTCAGCTGAACAACGTTGGATCCGAACACGAATCCCTTGCTGTCCATGGATCCTACCGCTTCGTGAGTGATGATGGTGTGACCTACGAGGTCAAGTACACCGCTGATGAGAACGGATTCCAGCCTCAGGGTGCCCATCTGCCCGTTGGTCCCTAAGTCACTCAAAGTGGATTACCCAGTTCCTTGTTAATATCGTTTAACTGCCACGTCCTTTCATTTGGAAAGCAAGAGATTCTAAGTAAAAAAAAATAACTATTAAAAATAAATTGTATACCTGAAGAAACTCATTTCAGCCCATTGATAGCATTGCTAACAATTTTTATTTAGGCCAGTTTTTTTACTTTTTGAAAGCTTGTTAGTAGGTTTTAACTGTAAATTTGCATAAGATATTTTTGTGGCAACCTTCCCTTAAGTGAGTCCCAAAAACACATCTTAACAAGAACAACTGCAAAACATCCCATTTCCATTATTCATATTTCTTTGTTGCCCAGTGCTTTACGTATTTATAAAAAAAAAACAAATAAAGAAGAAAAATAATTCATTTTTATTATAGTTTAATAAGAATATTGCTCGATAAAATGGAGCTATAACCAGTCCCAATGCCTTTTTCGACTATATTTTATAACATTTTGTTTTCATATGTTGGTCGTACTTCCAGAATGAATAAGTCACATTTGGTCAAGTAATTAAACATTAAAGCCTTCTAAAGGATTATACCATGGTGAAACTTTTTAAAAATATATTTTTCTTAAGCGATAGTTTACATTTTCATAAATATCCTTTGAAGCGGCAAGGTCGTATATTCAATATTTTTTGAATGGCAAAAAAAAAAAACTGTAAAACTGTAACGCATTTTTCTTAAAAAATGTAAATTTTGCATTGTTAAAATCTAATTTTTTAACCACAAAATTAGCCATTGTTGTTTGTTTTTTTTTTTTTTATAAAGATTGTTTGTTCCAATACAATCAGAAATAGTTTTAACTTTAAGAACATTTTGGAACAATACATATTTAGCTCCGCTGTTTCTGTATATTTTTGTGATATAATGTTAAAACATACCATATTAAGTCCAAAATTTTTGTAAAGTAACTAATTGGGCTTCTAAAAACAAACAACCGAATTTTTTTATTAGTTGATGGCTTGGAAGTATTAAACTACAACGGCAACTTTCTAATTGCTATATCTGACACAACAAAGCCTTATTGTTATAAAATTGTATGCAAGTTAACTTAACTTAAATCATGCAATGAAGCAAAGGCCAGTTTTAATGCTAATTTGTGGTTCTTGTTCAGAATTTACGATTTCAGTTTGGATAATTCATTAACGTCTTTGCATTTTCCTTATCTATAACATTTTCCTATTAATACAATAGGAAGCATAAGAAACAATTTAAAAATAAGTTTTAATTTTCACTCAGCTTAATAAAAGGCGCATTTCATTAAACTGAAAATAGATTTTAATTTTTAGTATACCAAGAAATGATTGCGATCTACCGATATACGCTCCTTGATGTTTATGTGCATATTAATGGTGCATATTAATGACAGAAAAGTATTTTTGGGTGCAAAAAGCTACATAGTGAGGCGAATGCGACCAACTTAGTTGTAGATTGTCGATTTGCATTTCGTTTTGGGCTTTTAGCTATTCAGCTTGAACCTGAAATCAATAACACACATTTATCACATTATGCTTTGACGAATTCGGAAACGTTAAACATAGTCGCCAGAGGTTGTCCAACTATTTAAAGGGTGACCCAGCCATCAAACAGCATCATTCGTCGTGAACTGTTCGATAGCCGCAGATCAAAACACCAACCACCAATCACCATGAAATTCCTGATTGTCTTCGTCGCCCTCTTCGCCGTGGCTCTGGCAGCTCCTACTTCCGAAATCCTGCGATCGGAATCCGATGTTGGACCCGAAAGCTTCAAATACGAGTAAGTTGATTGAGAGCTGCTTAAAAAGGATACCAAACTGACTTTGCCTTCATTATTAGCTGGGAGACTAGCGATGGCCAGTCGGCTCAGGCCTCGGGTCAGCTGAACAACGTTGGATCCGAACACGAATCCCTTGCTGTCCAGGGCTCCTACAAGTTCGTGGGTGATGATGGTGTGACCTACGAGGTCACCTACATCGCCGATGAGAACGGATTCCAGCCCCAGGGTGCCCATCTGCCCGTTGCCCCCGAGGCTTAAGTCAGTCGAAGCCGACTACCCAGTTCCTTGTTAATATCGTTTAACGGCCACATAAATATCTTATTCCTTTATAAAGAGGGAATGAGAACATAAGTCAAAAAATCTGAATTGTTGTATATTAAAGAAAAAATGAGTACATACAAAATGTGTTTCACAATTAGAACCATCTGGTGAAATTAAGTAATTTACGGTCGTTGGCAATTGCGATTCATTATACCCTTGCAGAGGGTATTATAATTTCAGTCAGACGTTTGCATCGCAGTGAAGGAGACGTTTCCGACCCTATAAAGTATATATATTCTTGATCAGCATCACTAGTAGAGTCGATCTAGCCATGTCCGTCTGTCCGTCCGTTTATATGCAAACTAGTCTCTCAGTTTTAAAGCTATCTGCATGAAACTTTCCCAAAAGTTGTCTTTCTATTTCAGGTGGTATATAACTCGGAACGAGCCGGATCGGACTACTATAGCATATAGCTCCCATAGGAACAATCGGAAAAATAAATGAAAAAAAATTATAACTGTTTTATTATGCTGTTTTTTAATTTTTTGTTTAGTTCTTCGACATATAGCAATGGTTAAATATTTCAGAATTATGGTTTAAATTTCATCAAAATCGGACGACTATAGCATATAGCTCCCATAGGAACAATCGGAAAAATAAATGAAAAAAAATTATAACTTTGCTGTTTTTTAATTTTTTGTTTAGGTCTTCGACATTTATTAATGGTTAAATACTTCCGATTTACGTTTTAAATTTCATCAAAATCGGACGAGTATAGCATATAGCTCCCATAGGAATAATCTGAAAAATAAATGAAAAAAATTATAACTTTTCTGTTTTTTAATTTTTTTTTTTGTTCTTCGACATATGGCAATGTTTAATTATTTCAGAATTATGGTTTAAATTTTATCAAAATCGGACGTCTATATCATATAGCTCCCATAGAACTAATAAAAATATATAAAATAACTATCTAATAATTGAGCTGCAAATTATCATAGCTTCACTGTTTTTCAGCATATACTCAAGTAAATCATAATTTAAATGTTTTCAAAAGTATTTAATTCATGCAATAGCTGCAAGGGTATATGAACTTCGGCTTGCCGAAGTTTGCTTTCTTTCATGTTTTATTACTAGTTTTCTTAACTCGGCTTGCTCACTTCATAAAAAGAAGTGTCCATTAAGCTTACTTTAACAAGTCGAATTTGTTATGTCCTTGCAGTTATACCGAAATGAATGAGCCACTTTGGTAAGATTTTTAACAAATTGCAAAGTTTGTCGAATATATAAGACAGCTATAAATTTTCGACTTATGTATTCACTTACATATCACTCAAACCATTACAAAATAACAGCTTTAATGTTTAGTCAATTCATGGATGATTTAACCATCTTAAAGGAAAAAATGGTGAAATATATACAAAATTCTACGAAAACGAGAAAGAAAGCAAACTTCGGCAAGACGAATTTCATATACCCTTGCAGCTATCGCAAGAATTAAATATTTTTGAAAACATTAAAATTATGATTTACTTGCGTATATGTTTAAAAACATTGAAGCTATGACGATTTGCAGCTTAATTATTTGATTGTTATTTTATATATTTTTATTATTTGTATGGGAGCTATATGATATAGTCGTCCGATTTTGATGAAACTTAAACCATAATTCTGAAATATTTAACCATTGCTATATGTCGAAGAACTAAAAAAAAAAAATTAAAAAACAGCAAAGTTATAATTTTTTTCAATTATTTTTCCGATTGTTCCTATGGGAGCTATATGCTATGGTAACCATAATTCTGAAATATTTAACCATTACTATATGTCGAAGAACAAAACAAAAAATTAAAAAACAGCAAAGTTATAATTTTTTTTCAATTATTTTTCCGATTGTTCCTATGGGAGCTATATGCTATAGTCGTCCGATCCGGCTCGTTCCGACTTATATACTACCTGCAATAGAAAGACAACTTTTGGGAAAGTTTCATGCAGATAGCTTTAAAACTGAGAGACTAGTTTGCATATAAACGGACGGACAGACGGACAGACGGACGGACAGACGGACAGACGGACATGGCTAGATCGACTCTACTAGTGATGCTGATAAAGAATATATATACTTTATAGGGTCGGAAACGTCTCCTTCACTGCGTTGCAAACTTCTGACTGAAATTATAATACCCTCTGCAAGGGTATAATAATAATACGTAAACAGCGAACTATCTACGCTAACGCGATCGTTTCTATGGCAGCTTTTCAATTCAGATATCAAATTTAATGGGTTTTTAAGACTTGATAGACGTTCTGGACAACAGAACATGTTGTGCATCAATAAAATTAATACTTTACAGGATCTTAAATGTCTTCTTCGGGGTTTCACTGCGTTACAAACGTCTGACTAAAATTTGACACCCAATGCAAAATAGCTTATAAATATTAGAATCTACTTTGCGCTCATTGAGTTGCAAAATTTTTGTCGATATTTCGCTTATTACTAAAAAGCGTAATCATTACGCGAATGTCTTTTGATAATGTACATTGTTAGGTTACATCAGAAATGATAGTCAACTATTAAAAAAGTAGTTAAAAAACGAGACTTCCCAGCCAACTATCGGTTTATATGTGTAGGAAATAACTCATTTAAATTGTATCACATGGGCAAGATAGCTCGTAATTCAAACTGACACAACAAAGGCTTAATAAGAGTCCGCAAATATATTTACATAAAGCTATCCTACATTTCTACTGAAAGTAGCAGAATAAGCCCTCAAAGGCGATTTATTTTTCTAGCAAAAAGTTTATGAGTTTAATTCAGTTTATAAAAATGTGTATTAAAAATATATATTATATTTTACTTATATTAACATAAAATCCAACTATATTATTTTTTGAACCAATCCGTATATATTAAGCTGAGAACTGAAAGCTCTAATGCTTTAGCTCACTTGACAAGCGATCTTTTATCGATTTCGAGCTCCAGATTGACAGCAACTGAGCCTTCTCTGAACAGAAGTCAGCTGTAAAGCGAATGCGACAAACTATTTAGAAGATGGTTAATTTACATTTTAACGATTCAGCTGTAGGCCGAAATTCATTTGACACATTTATCACACTATGATTTATACACTACACGTTTGACTAGTCTGGCCGCGTTGGGCTCGGTCGACAAATTTTGGCCGTCCATCTATAAAAAGGTCGTCCCTGCCATCAGACAGCATCATTCGTCGTGAACTGTTCGATAACCGCAGATCAAAACACCAACCACCAATCACCATGAAATTCCTGATTGTCTTCGTCGCCCTCTTCGCCCTGGCTCTGGCCGCTCCTGCTGATAAGGATGTTTCAATCGTGAAATCGAATTCTGATGTTGGACCCGAAAGCTTCAAATACGAGTAAGTTGATTGAGAGCTGCTTCAAAAGGACGCCTAACTGACTTTGCCTTCATTATTAGCTGGGAGACTAGCGATGGCCAGTCGGCTCAGGCCGCTGGTCAGCTGAAGAACATTGGATCCGAAGACGAGGCCATCTCCGTCCAGGGCTCCTACAAGTTCGTGGGTGATGATGGTGTGACCTACGAGGTCACCTACATCGCCGATGAGAACGGATTCCAGCCCCAGGGTGCCCATCTGCCCGTTGCCCCCGAGGCCTAAGATGAGTTGCTTTCAACCGAAGCAGCTTAGGAGCAAACCAATCCTATACAATTCCTTGTTAAAAATCCCGAACTTTATCAAACCGAACTTGTCCATTATTTTAAAGGATGGGAACTAAGTCAACCAACCCCACTTGTTAAATATTAAAAAATTATTACCAGAAGTTATTTGTGTTTTATTTGCAAAGATTATTTATTTTATATTTATATTCAAAAACTTTGTCTATATCGCACGCAGAACCTACTTAGATAGAACAGGGATTATTGATAAGACCGCAAATGATTTAATCATCATTTTGACTATTTTCTTATTAAAAAAAGTGTAAGTTGGTTTATGGTTACCATAGAGATGCTTCTTAATATTGAATTTGTGTTGAATTCTTAAATACGCTTGATAGATTTGTGATTGCTATTTTCTACTTATAATTGATTTTTTACCGACAGAAGTATTGGCATATGTATGTACATATGTATGGGTTTGTATTTATTCATTCATTTAATGATTGTATGAGAAATGACAATGGCAAAATCACAATGCACAATAACAAAAACTTAGAAGACAGAGTTAATGTATCTCGACTGGAAGACATCTCCTAAGCTATTTTATAGAGAGCCACTTTGGATATTTAATCGAATAGGAAACTCAATCTTAATCACAACGAAGATATTCATGATTTATCCAAGCCACGTGTTTTAGATATAAGCAACGAAAATAAAAACCACAAGTTTGATGGCAAGATGAGGCATCATTCTGTCCATCGAATAGCTGTGGACAAGGTAATTGCATAAATTACCTCCCACTGGGTATACCTGCATGCACGATTTGTGCAGGGTATTTAGAGAGGTAAATCTGTAATTAAAATGTGTTTTATTGAATGGTTCTATTATAGCTTATTTCTTTATGTTTCATTTGTTTTTATTATTTTGCATTTTTCGCCGATGAGGACATTATCCAGCGGTTCGGTATAAAAGGGCGTCATTCGATTGCATCGCAGCTTAGTGAAGTGCAGCTTAGTGTGACGAAGATTGTGAAAACTAATTGTTCCCGCGATGCAATCGAGTTTCGTTTGGCTAGTTGCCCTCATGGCATTCGGCGCATGTCTGGCCCTGCCCGCTGGGGAGGATGCCAAGGCGGAGACCCTCAAACTGGAGAGCGAGAACACTGGCGACAAATATTCCTTTGCGTGGGTATTGCCCAGGCAGGGTTCGAAAAATTCAAATCATTTACTTTGAGAAAAATCTGAACGCACATTTCAACTCATTTTATAAACCTTTCTGACCAAAGAGATTGATTGAAATAAAATAAAAGTTTATTTATAACGATTTAGGCTATTATGCTTAGACATTATTTAAGTTTGAGCTAAGCTTATATATGAAATACTTGTATATTTACCTTGATGATTCATATACTTACTTTTGAAGTTTTAATTTTAAGTAATATTTAATAAGCCGATTCCATTTTCGATCGCAGGTATGAAACGAGCAATGGAATCTCACGCTCGGAGACTGGAGAGGTGAAACCAGGTGCTGGTGAAGAGGATGGCTCACTTTCTGTCCAGGGCTCCACCAGCTGGTCAGCGCCAGATGGCAAGAAGTACGAGATTAGCTTCACGGCCGATGAGACCGGCTACCATCCCAAGTTCAGGCTGGTGGCCTAGCCGATGTCTGGAATTTAAATTTGGCTTAGTATTCCCAATTATCAATGTTAGCTTAATTTATCCAATGTGAAAACTTACAAAATTGAGGAATAAAATAGGCACACTTTTAACATATTAAGGAAGCTAAAGACCTTTATTGACGTCACTGACTTTGGGCGAATTTATAGAAACATAAGACTGGCACAATGAAATGGTAAAAATTTGAATAATTAAATATTTATGGCCGCAATTCTTTTCAGCCTATAGCCTATCATGTTATTTAAATTTCATATTAGGCCTTTTAATGCTTTAACTCCAAACGAAAACGAAACCCAAACCAGACTTTTCACATTAACATTGACATTGCTGATTATGTCTTGTACACGTTTGACTAGTTCGGCCGCGATTTGAATAAAGGCCAACAGTTTGCCATCTATAAAAGGGTTTGCACGGAAATCCATCGTTACCATTCGTCGTGAACTGTTCGATAGCCGCAGATCAAAACACCAACCACCAATCACCATGAAATTCCTGATTGTCTTCGTCGCCCTCTTCGCCCTGGCTCTGGCCGCTCCTGCTGATAAGGATGTTTCAATCGTGAAATCGAATTCTGATGTTGGACCCGAAAGCTTCAAATACGAGTAAGTTGATTGAGAGCTGCTTCAAAAGGACGCCTAACTGACTTTGCCTTCATTATTAGCTGGGAGACTAGCGATGGCCAGTCGGCTCAGGCCGCTGGTCAGCTGAAGAACATTGGATCCGAAGACGAGGCCATCTCCGTCCAGGGCTCCTACAAGTTCGTGGGTGATGATGGTGTGACCTACGAGGTCACCTACATCGCCGATGAGAACGGATTCCAGCCCCAGGGTGCCCATCTGCCCGTTGCCCCCGAGGCCTAAGTTGAGTTGCATTTATCGAAAGCAGCTTAAGAGCAAATCAATCCTATACAATTCCTTGTTATTTTCCCAAAAATTCCCTGCTTCCGGTTTCTCTTTTGTTTTGGAGAGAAAGTTTCCTAAGTCACAGAACCCAAATTGTTGAACATTAAAAAATGAAGAATATATATATGAATACGTTTTATTTAAAAAGGTTTAAGCAGAAAAAAGTTGATACAAAAACGGATTTATTTTCTAAAGAGTGGAACATTATAGAAAAACCAATATGAAGAATCAAAGGTTGCTACAAACATTCAGCAAAAAGCCTGTTGAATTTGTAAAAACAATTTTTTTTTTTTAAATTCGCTTTCAATGGCCACAGCAAGCAGTTTTTTGGACCCAGATGCAGCATTTGTAAAGATTAAAAAGTCATGAACAGGTAACAGCTATTTTTAAGCGGAATAGCTTTTGGTTATAAATAACAGAAGTAGAGCATTGATAAGAAGCAATTAAATGGACAAAAGAGCTCTGTAATCTGTTTTATTTATATTATTTTCATTTTTAATTAAATATATAGTATTAACCTCACAAAAGCACTGATGTTATGTTGTCTTAATATTCAATATTTTTAAGTCCAATTATTATTTAATTATTTACAATTCTTTTGTATGGGCCTTGCGGATCCATTCTTAAAGATTATTTACATTAAAACATAGTATTTAGATATTAAAATTTTCGAAATGTCATGGTTTTTTTTCGCGTCCTGTTTTTAGTTAAGGTTTAGAATCTTATGTCACATCCACTTCTGAGGAGTTTTATACAATCGAAAAACATCAAAGTTATTTTTTGGTTTAAAGGAATTGTCGTCTTTTCGGGAACGAAAAAATTAAAGAATGTAGCGCTCTTTTAAAGTTTTGTCATTAATGCAGCAACAAAATCGAATGACTTAGGAAACGAACTTAAGTATTCTCTTGCATACTTTTGGGGCTAAAGTCCTATTAACTTTGTGACACGTCTCGTTAGATTCGCATTATTTTCGAGCGTACTCAAAGGCAACAGTTATTGCAATTAATATGCAAATTTTAACATAAAACATCAGTCATTGCCAAACTCGACAGCAATATTTCAATTACAATTGGCTGTTAGTATCCGGCAGAAGACACAGACCCGCCGACTGCTGATCGTCGATCGATAATGGGAAAACGTAGTGCAAACATCTTCCTCATTGCATTCAGATTTGCTCATCAAGCAGGTCAAATGCCTGGCCGTCAATTGGACTCAACAAGTTGGATGACAAATACATCGGGTTAGTTTGATTATGAACAAATAGACAATAGAAATTAAAACCTTCACGCCTTACTCGCAGGCTTTTGATATCATCTAGTAAATATGGCATCAAGTAAAATATTATATACCTCAACATAAATTGTAGATAAACGGATGCAAAATAACTATTAACAGGATGAATTATAGTGTTCCTAACTACTTTGATATTTTTAAATTTGCTTTAAAAAATTTCATGCTCTATTAAATTACATTTTTTTCCTAGTTGAAAGGAAAATTACCAGTAGATAACCGTCACTTAGTTATTTTCTTTAATAAAATAAGAAAGTCCTACTTACTTTTAAATTATAACCTTGCTAAGAAAATTATATTAAACTAACTAAAAATTTGTTTATATATTGGTATATATAAATTAAGATGCCTTCGCTTTAACTAAGAGTAACGTCTTCAGGTGCCCTCGTTTTTTAAATTTAAGCTTCAAATCATAATATAAACGATCAACTAATCTATTCTCAAATCATAATTTACATATATAAGGGAGAATTATATGTTTGATTATAATTATATTGATTGATCATAAATAGTTATAATCGTTGATTTGGAAAATTAAGTTTTTAAATACGACTCTTGTATGCACTTTAATCGAATACATGCTAGGAATAAACAAAAGCGGACTGAGGAAGTCTAGAAATAGAAGCCAGAAATGTTATCTAACAAAGCCGAAGACTAATTTAGCTTTTGTTTAACCATTTCGAGGATGCAAATTACTAAATATTCTAGAACTGGCTGACAAGCAGTTTAAACAATCAAATAAATAACTGTGCAGAGTGCATAAAATTTAAATTATGAGTACAGGCTTGGCTGCCGCTCAAGAGGTGTGATGCCAATGCTACCAGCTCTGCGATCCGACCTGGCCAATACAATACAGATACAGAAACAGCCCGGAGCACACAGATACTCACGCACACTGGGCCAACGGGCAGCGGCAGGTCCGCGTCGCTTCTAATGTTTTATAATGTTTACCTTATATTATTAACATTGTCAATTCGCTGCCGAACATCGTGGGGTGTGTTTCATTCTGAGACGCTTGCTCCGAACCGATAATCTCGCCGTGAGAAACGCGTCGTTCCGTTCCGTCCGCTTGAAATTCAAATATTTATAATCGTATATTTGTATTAAAATATAAACGCCCGCTTGTTTATGGTTCTTCGTGTGATCGCTGTCAGTTTATAATAGGGCGTGAAAATAAAATAAATTTGTGACCAATTTGAATAAATATTAAGCCGCGAAATGAGCCTAAAATTGGTGGCGATCATTAGTGCTGTAAGTGCTTTGACCCTTACCTTAACGCAGCCACTTATGTAGTTCCTTCAAGTTGCTGCTCCTGTGTCTGACCCATGTCCTGCCCGCGGCGACCACAGTCCGTCCCTACAAGTTCGGCTTCACCATCGACGAGCAGCAGCATCGGGCTGAGAAGAGGGGTAAGTGGTTTGGCTAATGACGCTAATTAAACCATTAGCATATCTCGACTACTGTGCGTCGATTTATTGACACCAAAACCGAAATATGTAAATAGATGATGCGTCATCTCGAAAGTCGTTAGGAGCAGATGCTCAGATGCACAAATGCAGCGGCAGCGGCAGCATTAGCCAAAAAAAGCCATAACTTTTGACTTTTGAGCCGGAGTGGCTTGTGCAATGCCACACAATACACGTTTGATGGGTGCACCTGAGCGACAGGTCACCAGCAATTGAAATACCAGCCACCAATGGCAATTAGCGGAATCTTCACAGACACATCTGGCCGGGGGTCCATGTCCATTGTCCAAATGGCATGCATGGTCGTTATGATTTTTATTTTCATGCTGAATCGGTGATAAAGTTTTCAGAAAAACGAAAACGAAACGCGTCCGATTTGCATAACATGTAGACGCGTTCGAATACACAAATGTTTGGCTTATTTATGGTTTTTCTTTTTTAAGCTAATGCTAATTCCAAAAAGAACAGTCAAATTTCAATATTTATAAGTATAATTCTGGCATATGAAATGCCAGAGTTGATGCTGAAATTCGGAATAAGTTCATATTTCAACAAAATCAGGAACTTGTTGTGGATGCAAAATGATATTTGTTTAACTGGATTAAAGGGAAATAAAAGATATCCTAACAAAGCTTTTTTGTCGTGTTCGGCATGTTTGAAACATTGTTATTTAAATTTAGAATATGTTTAAGATCTATCGAACTATGTCCTATTTTTGAAGTCTATTTTGCGGGGCGTTACATCATCAGGTCGATTGAAACAATAGTTTTTTTTTTTTTTTTACAGTCTTTACAGTTTTACGAAATATACTCTATAAATATATATAGTATACAAAATATTGTTAATTTTGCTTTTGCAGAAACAATTGATTTGATTGTCTTGGTATTATTTTCGAACCAAATATTGTATAGACATGGCGCTTAATTTTATTACCACACTTATCATTTTTATGACTCCTGTTTTATGACTTTATATTTATTTACATACATCAGTTCAATTTAATTTGAGCAAAGTTTGCAAAAATCTACTTATAAAACTGTTTAAGATGATTAAAAATATGTATGTATTTGATACAAAAATGTCTTCTGCACAATAAAACATTTTGGGTAGTTAATAGAAAATTCGACCAAAAATTCACACTTATTAATCCGTTGTAAATTTGTATTCCTTACAGCTTCGGAAAGATTTAGAGATAAATCGTTTCTAGTTTTAAACTACTTTATTTTTAACTTTATTGTTCCTATTTTGTTACTCTTCATTTTTATAACCAGAAAAAGATATGGTTAATTTTTATTGATTCGAGCTTATTAGTTATAATTACTAAGCCCAGCTCAATGAACAATTTGAAATAAAATTGATCACGACAAAAGAATAAATTTCAATAAAGAATTATTTTCTAATCCCACCGAAATGGATCGAGATAAATGGGAAAGTGACACGAAGCCATATTCGAATTAAACATAAAACAAACGAACGAAAGCCAATTGATGCAAACCGTTAAAACTTGTTGCCCAGTATCGTGTAAACCTGTTTAGCAAAAGGCCACAAAGGCCACAAGCCAGAATTTTAAATGCGAATTTTTGGTGGGTGGCTGGACAGGATGCTTCGGTGAGAGTCGCACCTCTTTAAGACCATCCACAGTGTCATCTAAATTAATAAATTCCTCTCAGCATAGAAATGTTTCTTGCGTAGGCAGCTGTCGTTCAACGGCTGCAGGGGTTTTGCGGATGAGGGGGGATTTAAGAAACCAGCTCACAAGTTATGATCGTCATTATCGATACAGTTTATTAGATCTTAATCTTTATGGGCCTGGCCGGGCAGGTTATCAAACGAATTAAAAATCACAAATCGGCGCAAAATTCGCATTCATATTCAAAATGAACATAAAATCTGTTTGCCCAAATCTCGACACATCTTGTTTCCCGATTCGCAGATGAACGCGGCATTGTTATGGGCGAGTTTGGGTTCATCACCGCCGATGGAATCTACCATGTGACGGTCTATGCCACCGACGAGGAGGGCAAGTTCCGCATACTGTCCATGAAGAGCTTCCCCTATGCAGGTCCCGTTGGCCAGAGTGAGTATTACCGAAATTCGAAAATAGTTCTTGAATTTTTAAAATCAAAACGTTATTATTGGAGAATAACTATTTAGTTTTTTGTTTATAGTTTGAAAGAAAGTTTGGTTTTGGTTTCCTTTTCTCTTATCTAGATATAACGACAATTTTTTTAAAACTAGTTTGGCTCTAAACACTTTTAAATATAATATAGCATTTTACTAATTATGGTAATTATAATGATTAATTTGGATTTACCTAGCCAGAGCTAGTAATGCCTTGTACTGATTTTTCTAAAACACCTTATATATTTTCTACTGCCCAGAGACGCTAGTTGCGACAACGACTCCGAAGGCTCTGCCACTACCGGTGGCTCTGCCCAAGTACAACTTCAACACGGAGGCCTGCTCCGGCTGTTTCCTGAAGAAGTCCCCTTCCTCTTCCCCTCCCAAGAAGGAGATTCGCACGCTGTCCCAGCCGTTGGCGCCAGTTCAAGCAGGTAAGCCCGAGGGCTCTCCGGACTACGGCCTAAATGTGGAGTTGCCCTTCCGGGACTCCATTGCCCAGACTGTGGCAAGCCGTCTTGGCTTGAACCAAGACAATGCACACCAAAGCACCAACACTTACCCTAATGCACCCACTAAACGCATCGAACTTGGTCTCAACTTAGCCATGAACACATACTACACAACCAAGGGCGCTGTAACCGGACATGTGAGCTCTCAGACCTCTAGTTCCCATTCCTCGAGTGGCAGCACAAAGATTGACTTCAATGTGGGCGTGGCGGAGAAGGCCGAACCGGCGGTATATCCCCCATTGAACATCAAGTTGGACGAGCAGGCTGTGCGGCAAGCCATCACATATGCCGGGAGGATAGCGGCTCCTCCGGCCCTGGAAAATCAGCCACTTGTTGCCCCCGCCGCTGTGCCCGCCAGCCAAGTGCAAATCTTTGCTGTGGACGGGGATGGTCATGCCAGTAATATCCAATCTGTCGCTGCTCCGAATGCTGGCCTTAAAAACATCCTTCGATCGGGAGTTGCCTCTGCGAAAACAGTGGCGCATTCGAAAACACAACCCACACTCACACTGAACACACACCAAACACCACTTTTGAGTAAGAAAAACTGGGGGTATATTCAAATTATTTAAGAATTCGGGCACTTCTTCTTGCATTGGCGTTTTTAACCCCTTTGCGGGACCTAGACAATTGTTAGGGGCGCTGAAGACGCTCCAGAAAATCGGCGTAAAGGCCGAAGTCCTTGATTTTTTGGTTTTGAAATTATCGATATCAGCGCGCTTAAATAGGCGCTGATCGGTCTAGACCGCTCCTACGGAACTAAATCGCTCTTTTGTTAAATTTTCTAATTTTCGGTTAATTTTCTAACTTTTCGATGTTTCCTGCGACGTCTGACGAAACAGTTTAGCTAACACCTTCTTGTTAAGAAAAAAAAAATCGCCATCTAGCGGTTATCTCTCGCACTATGATATCTACACGTTGTCTACATAAGTCTTACATTATGATTTGAGTCATTACTTAATTTCCCTTTGGGACTTTAACAGATTCAGCAACCACCGCTGGAGTTTCTGGAATAGCAGCAAATTCACCAACCGGAAGTGCACCCTGTAAGTGTTGTGGAAGAAAACGAAACATAAATAAAGTGGGGGAAATAATTTATTAATATATTTTTAATGAAATTAGCAATCAGTGGAGGTTTCCCTGTGGGAAAGGCGCCTGGTGGAAGTCTCTCTGGCAAACCGCAATCTGGAGGATCTGGCGGAGGAAAGACATCTCCATCTGGAGGTTCAGCGGGCGGTTCCGTTGGTGGTTCGGTTGGCGGTTTCGCTGGCGGAAGATCTCCAGGATCTGGATTCGGAGGAAGTGCAGCTGGTGGAAGTAAAGCCTCAGGAACTGGAGGATCTCTACCCCGTGGCGGAGCAGTGGGCTCTGGAAGCGGCAGTGCAGCTGGCGCAACGGGAGATTTGTACAAGTTCAAGTACGTCCTCGACTACAATGGTCACGAGGAGACAGGCGGTCGTAACGGGGACAAACAGGGCAGCTACTTCGCCATCGGCGAGGATGCAGTGCAGCGGACCATCGAGTACATTGCGAATGAGTTTGGATTCCAGCCCCACATCAGCTGGCGGAAACTGGACGCCAAGGAGGCGTTGCCCGAGGAGAACTCGCTGAAGCACTACGAGTTCAAGTGGTTCAATCAGGAGCAGTGATTGGTGACTCTTCAGCGGATTAGTCGAAATCTAGGGTAGCCACCTCTTTCCCCCCAGCTGTACATACATTTTTGTTAATTTTCAAATAAAGTCAATGTTTAACAGATAAGAATGGAGTCTGTTTTGAATTGGGTTTTATTTTTGTTGAAAGTTCTTGCCTTAAATTAACTAAATTCTTAGAGGGTTTCGGTGTGTGGGCATCGCTGATGATCGATTTATATTGGTTTTCGCTTCGTAGAGTTTACATTCAGAATTTAAAATTGTATACACTTAGATCGTTTACGATTAGTTCGATTTTGTCGTATTTCAATTTGGTAAATACACATAGTTACACACATTTAAATTTATATATATATATATATATATATATATATATACATATATATATATGTTTGCCCGTGTTATTATAGTTAAACTTTGACTTATGAGTTAGAAAGTTTTTTACACACAAATATAAAGTATGCCTAGACTTGGGATTAATATGTACTCGTAATTTATTTCAATATTTATTCGTTTGTAATTTGGTATTTAAAAAATATATAAGAGTTTTAACTGTACAATCAACTATCACAGTCAACCATCTCAAAAGGATAAATGAAAGTTTTCGAACCAAAAAATAATGTAATGCATAAATAAATTGAAACATAAATAAACCACTCTACTTGCTAAACATTTTTACACTTAGGCAAATACTTATTTACAAATCGTAAATTGAAGTGAAAATGTGGCAAACTTTTATAACTAGACATTCACTGTTGTGCTGAACGTTATTTGGAGGATGATATTGTTATTTCGCTATTTACAAATGCTTCACACACAAAATGCTAACAACAATTGGAGAATTCTAGAACTGTTCGAAGTCTTAGCCTGGAAAAGTTTTGCTTTTAATTCAAGGAAAGAGTTAGTCCTTGGTACACTAAAAACACTTAGAGTTTTGTTTTGCTTAGCTTCGAATGCCAACTATATCGGTTCCGGTTCTTAATCGTATATTAGTGGAAAGTTAGTTCCTTAACCCTAAAGCAACAACGACTCATTCACCCACTCACTCGCACACACGTAAAATATTTAGCTGGGGGTTGTTTTTTCTCTTTTTTTTTTGGGTAGGGTTTAAGGGTACCATTCGCTAAGTAACTATGAATAAAATCCGCTGCAAATACTTTTGCTGCCTGCATTTCGTTTCGTTTTGTTTTGTTTCGATTTTTTGTTTTGTTTTTTGGATCTTTTCTGGTGGTTCTGGTTTCAAGTGTTGCCATTGCATTTACAGTAAAAACGTGGCCTGTTCGCCGCTCTTCATGTCCAGATAATCGTACAGGGCCCGCTCGTTGGCCCCGTAGTTGGCGGCGTGTCCTGGAAGTCCGGAGTGGGCGGGATGGCCGGGATGGTGATACGTCGGCATACTTTCGCCAGCGGGCGTGGCAGCCGGCGGCGAGGGACCCGCGCCCATCGTCAGCCCGAACTTCTCCAGGTGGCATCATTTGAGCAGCGTGGGCAGGCTGCTGTTCATCAGCCGGTTGCCCACAACTAGCGAATTGAGCGTCGAGTTGCCACCCCCCACGCCCACGCCCACGCCCATTCCGGCCACACTCAGTCCGCCGATGGTTCCGAATCCGGCGCTGGCATGAGCCGGAGTCGCTGTCAAGGTAGCCGTGGCTATATTGAGGTTGTTGCTCACACTAGACGACCCGCCGCCGCTGCTGGACAGATGCGATCCGTTCAGGTTGCCATTGCTGCCAAAGCCGCTCATGACTGTGCCAGCTCCTCCTCCACCGGACCCGGCGCCTCCTCCTCCCGCTCCACTGCTGGCGGTGCTGCTCGATGTGGATCCCACACCGGTGGTCACTCCGGAGCCACCTCCATTGCCACCCACTCCCCCGATGCCCACGCCCGTCGAGGCGGTGCCGCCGCCAATGCTCGAGGCACTGGCGATGGCGTTGCTCTCATATTAGAAGGCGCCACCGGACGATGATGGTCATGCGTAGTGAGGATAGCTGCTGAGGTGGGGCGCCACGTGGGAGGGGGTCACGTGGCTCATCGAGTGCGGCTGGTACAGGTTGGTGGCCGGACTGCCCCAGTTGCCCCACGAGGCTGCCGACGGGAAGATCGAAGCTGCAAGAAACAGAGGTTTTATTTAGTAGAAGTTTAAGAGCATAAGATATTGCTTAAATTACCCTAGTTCAATATTTGATGTTACAAGCAAATTCATTTTTATTGTATTGGTTTTTATTGTCCTGTATATGGATACATAAATCGAAGCTTAAAATTCGATATCATGGTTGGTTATCAATTTCTGCAACAAAACGTTTTTGTTAACTTTCATCACACTAGCACTCCATAAGAAGTGAACCCGACATTAATAGGACAAACTAGTTTTGTTTGCACGTCACCTCAATTTATTTGTATTATTTTTGTTATAAGTTATTTAAAAAGAAATTTAAAAAGTTAACTTTCAATTAAAATGAAACCTATTTATGAGATTTTAATACTTTGCATTGCTATAACTAAAGATGAAACAAATTTCTTTAAATTGTTTCACTTTCGTTAAGGCAATTAGTTTGAGTTATACGGTTTTGTGTGGGCTCTTGTTCCATACTAATTTGAAGCTGGATAATTAAAGCTTTATCAAATAATTTATTGCTTTGACGCTGGTATTATAAATTTAATCAACTAAGAGTTGGGGAGCATTTGGGATTGAATAAATAATTTAAAGCTGATTCTCATTAATCGCAGTTATTATAACTCATTCTCATAGAGATCCGAGCTTCCCCAAATGGAGTACCCATATAGGTATGCTTACCCGATGATGAGGTCATGCCGTGGTGGGGACTCATGAACGAGCTGAGCTTGGCGCTGTGGTGATATGGTGTCATGAACAAGTCGCTCTGGTACTTGTAGGTGGGATCGCTGGCCGCCGGCTGCGTGGCAGCGGCCAAACCTTGGAAGTCGAATTTGTACGCATACCGCTTGCCGTGCACCTTGGTCATTATGTTTTTGTCGTAGTAATACCTGTAAAAATCAAATTGTTTTTTATGTTACCTCTTAAATTTATAGGAAAGAAAATGTTTTATATTTCAAGTTCTGCCTAAAAAAAATTATTCGTAAACTGGTAACGCTTAATTAATAATGTGAAAAAAGGTACCATGACTTGATTATATTATAAGTAATCAATATTTGTTAAATCGTAGATAAATTAAATATTTGAGTTCAAGTAAAGTCACTACCAATAGTTTTTTGACAAAGAGTTTATTGAACTTTGTAAAAACAGATTATGAATAGGGCATTTCAAAATAAATTTAATTGATTATTAGCTAATATTTAACACTATTACAACTTTAGCACTAAAATTGACTTCAGACCTTAGCAATCAACCCCCAAATCCCAGTAAAGCTACTCCTTCTGCTGCCCATTTCTATGATCTCAATGTGGGAAAGTCAAACAAAAGCTGAGATGAGCTGAACTGAACTGAACTGAACTGAACCCAGTCTCCCCCAGATGAACAATAAATAATTACAGAATAATGCTCGCTTTATGCGTTTTAAGTTAATTTGCTGACATTAAGCGATTTTAGTGCCGCTCCCCAGGCGCAGCTCCCTTTTCTGTCTCTGCAATTAAATGGCAACGCCTTGTGCACAAACGCAAATAGAAATTTTAGCGAGGGGTAAAATTATGTGGGCGGGCAGACGGCCAAGAAATCCAAGCGATATTTGTTTACATTCGAGGGCTAGCCAGCGATTTCATTTCATTAAGTTAGGATATTTGGCCAGTCAGCTTAATGTTCGGTCTTTAAAGCATTCAAACATCCAAACGGCAATTTAAATATCCCTTTCCTCCTGCATATTGTTCGTTTATTGTTACGCTTTAAAATGTCCACAACTTCCGCCTGACAAGTAAAAAAAATTGGCAAATAAATTACAAAGAGTTGCAGGCAGAGCAAACATTTCAATGCATCAATGAAAATTGGCATAATGTGTGCAAGTTGAGTTCATTTTCTTTTTTTTTTTTATTTGAACCGTCCATAAATTATGCCAATTACGGTCATAAATTAAAAGCAGCAAAAACAAAGGCTTGACGTACGGAAAATTTAAAAAGAGAAAGAGGAGAAAAACACCGAATGCCACTGCTCTTTGCACAGACAATCAAAGCCAATCAATGACTGATGAGCACGGTGGCTAGGGACAAAGGAGCACAATCAGGGAGCAAGGATAACTGCATGGGGAGAAAAGGATTAAAGTAAACCCATTTCGAGGATTGGCCAGGCCAACAAAAGGCCAGCTGGCTGTGAATAAACATGTCAAATGAAGCATTAAAGCACTTGTCCTTGCTGTGTGAGTGTGTGAGAGTGTGGGTGTCTGTGGGTGTGAAGGATACTCAGGCTGGGTGTTAATTTACACACCCACACATCCACGGCCACAGCACACTCGCATTTCTGAGCAAACATGAAAGCCAACGGCGATGATGTCTCTTGTGTTCAATTGAGTTGAAAGGCGCAAAAAGAACAGACATGTTGAGGCTTCCTGCACATCAAAAAGGATTCCGATTCCGACTCCAAAGCCGATTCCTCTCCGCCCCCTATTGTTGTTGTTGCTGCGTGATTTTTCTACACTTTTTACATTTTATTTACATGTGTGAGCGGAGAGCATGTTGCAAATTGGCTGTCAGGACTTTTCCACTTGAATTCGCATCATTGGCACTCCTTTGATTGCGAGTGACAGTTTCAAGGAGCCGGAGCCGTCTAAAAGGGTTTGCCTTCGCCTTCGCCCAGAGGATTAGGCCAACTCGGCTCTGGCCATGTTTGTTCAGCAAATTGACCGTTGCACAAATAGTTTGTGCATATGTTTCTGTCACATATTGGAGCTCCAGATTTCGAAATCGAATTAGGTTGCTCTGCAATTAGATTGCGAATTTATTGGATTTTTGATTACGTTCTCATTCGGGGCAAGGGAGAAATTTATGATTGAATTTCTATGTCGACCCCGCCACGCCCACACAATCAAGTGGACCAAAGTCTTGGTCAGCAAGTGAATTAGCTAGTTGTTTTCGTTACTCTTATTTTTATTTTATTTTTTTGGGTGATTTTCTGGCTGCTTAGCCATCAAAGCGGCTAATCAGTGCAGGGACAAATCATTTACTGATGAGCCAAATAGCAAATTGCACACATGCTCGCATTTTGACGACGGCACAGATATTGGCTAATTAGGGAATACTCCAGTGCACAAGGAAGAACTACCCTATGGTTATTTAAGGGGAAATAATCCAAAAACAAACCATGTTTTTCATGTGGATAAAAATATCTTTTTAGGATATCTTTTATTTCGAAATAAAAGTTATTTGCTGTTAATTTTGTTCTATGGTTTTTCTTAAAATACCATCCCAAACAAGTCCATAAAATTCAAAGAAAAAAATTTTTACCAGTATGTTTTCTAAGCAAACTTGTATAACATATCAAAAAAAAAATAATGTCTTAGTCTTAAATCCTTTTTTAATTACACCCAAGAAAACAACTAAACTTTTAGTTTTAATAAGTGTGCCTTAAAAATAAACTCGGACAGCATTAAAGTATAAGTATCGAATAACCATTATACTTTTTTGTTTCATTTATAGTTTATTTGAAAATATAAGAAAAATAGTGGATATTTAAAAAGACTCACCTCAATGCGCGACTGAGCTTGTCGTAGTTCATGTTGGGCTTGGACTTCCGCTCGCCCCAGCGACGGGCCACCTCGTCGGGATCGGTGAGCTTGAACTCGCCGTTGGTGCCCTCCCAGGTGATGCAGCTGGCGTTGTTGGAGTCCGAGAGCAGCTCGAGCAGGAACTGCCACAGTTGGATCTGGCCAGAGCCTGGAACGGGAAACACGAGACATTAGAAATGAGAAATGAGTAGTGAGCCCTCTGATTTGTATGTATTGAGACATTTAATGTGGGTATTTTTGGGCCTGCCTAAATGTCCATCAAAAGAGCATATCCTTTTGGCGTTTGGGGCTTAAATTAACTACAGGCTGCGGGGATGTGGCCAAAATGTAAGCATTTTGTGGCATGCAAAGGCCCCATAAAGCATTTCCTGCCCGGGCCGCTGGCCAGGGAATCGAAACGCAATCCGAAAGCCCCCTGGTAGGCTCTACCCAAGGCGGGGACTCCCCTCTCTATAAATAACCGAGAGGGCGGGGGTAATCTATGACCCTTGCCTCAAATTATTGTAACAGAAGTGTAGCGCAACGGAAATGGCATTGCATGTAAGTGTAATGGAAGTGGAATGGAGTTGCTTCTCCGGGAGGAATAAGAGATATTATGGCTTGCACTTTCACTGGAAGGAACCATGCTGAGACTTGAAAAATAGCTCCAAACAAAGAGTAGTATTAAGAAGCTATATTGAACATAGTTTTCAAGACAAACTGAAACCTCTTTTGTGAAAAACCAATGAAACTATTATTTAAAAATATTTATTTAGGTAACATAACTGTGGCTTTAATAAAGTGTATTTTATAAATTTTATCTGAAAACCTAATTTAATTTATTGCAATTTAAGTAATGTAACTTTTCAATATCTAAGTATTTTTTCTTTAAAATAAAGCTAAACGTTTTCGAGCTTCTTTTGTTATTGGTCCCCTGAAATTTTATTCCAGCAATAAGTATTCACCCGTATCATAGTGGTTCCACATTTGAACTTTGACTTTCTGTCTTCGCTCCACTCCCTCGGCATATAACTTTTTTCATTGTGCGTGCTAAAACATTTACAGAATTATGATTGTATATTGTGCGCCGAATTCGCTACGCATTCGAAGCAGACATCATAAATCGCTTAATCATTTGGCAATTAGGCCGTGGAAGCGAAAGGACGAACAGGGGAATACAATCGCTCCTTTCTCTCTGTTTGCTGTCAGGAAAAATACAATAAAAAAGGACACCGTGTGGGGTGGTTGGGAAAACTTGAGCTTGAAAAAAAAGGAAGTAGACTTTTTGGGTGGTGGCTTAGCGCTGCTCATGTGTGAGAACGTCATGAATATTGCGTTAATTGCAAATCATGGCCAAGTGAATGTGTTAAGTGCCAACACGACGATTCTCCGTCGACTGACGATGATGAATGTTAATTGTTGGCCGGGGCAGAAGACACCGAGTTAGTGGAAAACTGGGCGTGTCTGGTTAGGCAATTGACACGCTATTAACTCCCAACAAGAGCTAACTATAAAACTAAATGGTTAAGGGGAAACTAAAGTTTATTAATTGCCCGCTAAGGAGTGTTCAAGTTCTTGATCCCAATAAATGTTAATTTAATTACAAAAAATACGGTAGACCGGAAGCAATTACTTCGGTTAGTTCTTTGCTCGAGGAACATTTTTCAGTAGTTTTCATAATTAAGAACATTTCAGTTTGCTCTTGGCTTATTTAATTATGCAGCAACTTACGAAAGCAATCTCATGTTTCCCTTTTTTATCACTCTCGTGGCGGCCTGCAAATGCACATATGCAAATGAGTATGGTGTGGCATGTCAAGTGTTGGCCAGCTGGCCGGACCTGGCTAACAAAGCGGTTCCGTGTCGAGAGGAAGCCATAATTATTCAAAAACAGCATTTTTGCCACCCAAAAAGCGAAAGCGCACTATGTACCACTCGCGTTTGTGTGTGGCTTTTTCTCAGTGAGCTTTTGCGTCCAACTTCAAGTTGAAGTTTAGAGCCAACTCTTGGCAACGGCCTAAACCGCACAGCAAACAATCGAAAGAGAGAGCAACAATGGGGTAGAGATAGAGAAATAGAGAGAGGGCTGGATTCGTGTAAATGTCGCGCCGGAAAATGTTGGGCGTCTGGGTTTTTATGCTAATTCCGTTCGAGCGCCATGTTTCGATGGTGCAAAAGTGGGTTGAGGTGGGGCAATGGTGGTACCGTGGTGCGGTGGTGAAGCGGAGGTAGCGCAGTAGTGGGTGGAGCCGCGCCACCATAATGGCGGCGTCAAAAGCTTGCCCCAAGCGCAGGATCAATAGAAATTATTGATTTTGCCTGTCAACTGGTCACAGGCATTGAACACCATTTTGAAAGTGACTTTCGTTTCTGGGAAAATTTAGCAAAAAGGCATACAAATCCTTAAGGAAGTTAGATTGCCTTAGATTCGAATTGAATACTTATCTTTAATTTATTGTTTGAATAAAAATCTAAAGCTTGTTACAACTTTTGTCAATTTAACACCATATGATTGTTCTTTCAATAACAAAATGTGCATGTGCTCGTTAGATACCCGCATATAAGATATTTTTAATTACAATATAAGTTAAAAAGCTATATTAAAAAAGCTATGAAGTAATTTAATAAATATTCTATGTTTCTATTTTTTGTAGTATTCAATAACTCTTATAACGCGCTGAATATCCTTTCATATAAAACTGATAAATTATTGTGAGCTAAAGTAAGAAATTAAGAACTTTGCTACTTTAAGAGTTTTTCTTTACAATCTTATAAATGAATTGCATTTTTTGCCAGCCTGGGAAAAACTGGTTTAATCATATAGAACCCCAGTTTAGCCATAGTTATAATGAGTCCAATCATTTTTTCTCATGTCCATATATCCCGAGGCTTTGTGAGAAAAAAGAACACATCCATTGACCAATTTATCAAATCCTTATGGAAACGCCCACCGTCGAAACCCTTTGACGGAGCCTTTCCCTGGGTTCGCAACTCTTTCTTAATGGATTTTCGCCGGATTGCAGGCAGGGCGCGTGCCCAGAAAACAGACAATTCCCAAGCAATGAATGAAACGAAAAGTCAGAGCTGCAAAAACAATTGCCAGGACACGCCCCACACACACACACACACTCGCACAGCGATGCAATAAATTTAGGAAAACACCTTTCGCATAAATTAGAAAACTGCACCCCGAAAAGGCGGAGGGAGCCCGCCAAAAAGGGTTAAACTCGCATGCAATGGGTTAATTTGTTAGGGTCGCCCGTCTGGGCAATGACTAAGTCGAATCTCGGCCAGAAATTGATATGATAATGAACTGAGGCCAAGTGTTTTTGGGGTTGGAGCTTAGTCACGTGGCTATCGCGGAATCGGGGAATCGTAAAATCGGGGGAAACTAATCGCGGCACCTGCATCTTTATGCTTTTGTGATTTCCACTCACCTGAGCTGGCCAGTCTGCTGCTGGTGGGTCCGAACATTTGATATGGATCTGCGGAGAGGGTGGAAAGAAAATGGAAATGGAAATGGAAAGCGTGGCATTAGTACCGGTTCTTTATGCAAATATCTTAATGAAGGGTGCCGACCGTTCTTATGGCAAATACAAAGGCAAGTTTTAGTTTCCGTTGACGAAATGAAATGCATTACCAGAAAACTGTGAAAAGTCTATAGTATATATGTATATTTATATTGTTTATGTGTGCCTGCAGATGCTTCATTTGCGCGCATTTGTCGAGTGCACTTGCGCACACACTCACACTCGAAATATCCATTTCACTTATTATCCGGCGCGAGTTTCCTGCTCGTGGCAAAAGCCTAGCTGTGTGAGTGTGTGCCTGTGTGTATGAGCGGCTACACTCAGAATGCGAGACTCTATTATATATATTTGTATTAATGAAAATTTTATAAAGGAATTCACTTTTGAACTTCAAATATACAGAACCAAGTTTGATTTTAAAATGTATCTTTTAAAATTAATGAAAAAGCCTACGAAAAATAGTTTGTTGTTTAGTTTAAAGGCACTATAACTAATTTCTTGATACATCTTACATTCAAATATAAATGTGTATATAAATATTGAAAATAATATATATATTAAAACATTGTTTCAAAATAATATGTAAGTATATAAAAATGAATACATAAGAATTCATAATTTGGTCTTTAAAAAAAGTTTTGGAGAAATAACATATTTTATCTGGACTTGTAAAACACATGTTTTGTTTTACATAAAAGTTGAATTACAATATAAGTACTCCAATATTAAGACTTTAATAGAAAGTCTTTTAAAAGTCTTTTAGGACACAATAACTTATATTTCTGCATCTTAAAAATTTGTTTGTGTGTACTGCAGTCGGGAAAAAGAAAGAAAGGTTACTCTGATTGCAACAAGACCGACACCAGACATATAGCACAATTGTCCGTAATTCGCATCATCTAGCCGGAGTCCTCCGCCGCTCCTTGGCTCGCTTTATATACGTATTTATACTGCTTTTTTTTTTGTTTGAGTCCTGTGTCCTGGCCATTGTTTTGCCAACAGTTTCTTCGGTTCCAGCTTTGTTCGCTCAACAGCTTTAATGCCCCGAAAAAGCGAAAAAACTGCCCCCCGACTGGCACGCGTCTTGTTCCACCACGGCCGTCAAATTTGACAGCAACAAAAGGCAAGCCAAGTGCGTCTGGGCCTGGAGCCCCCCTCTCCATGTGCTGCGGCCTCCCTGCCCCTCATCACCCTCTAATTGAGAATCCTTTATGGCCGTTTCAATTGTTTCCATTACGCTTCAATTCCACCGCTCGGCACTTTTGTTTCCATTACCATTTCCATTGCTCAAGTGGCGTATTTAAGGTTTTGATTCTGCGACAGTATTTGCTCGATTTCTGTTTCGGTTCGGTTTCGGTTTCGCTCTCGAAGCATTCGAAATGAATTTTAAAGCTGGAGGGTAGCAGCAAAAAGGACTCACAGCCAGGACTCGAGTGGCACTTGCAGCGTGCGTTCAATACACAATGCCCAAACTTTATTAGTGTTGGCCAACAGTATTCGTTTCGTATTTTGAGATACACACTCTATTTTAAAGTCTGTCCTGCTGGCTGTTAATGTTGGTTTTTAGGCTGAACAAAGCGGCACGTGGGCTGAAGCATCTGCACTTTAAAACCTTAAGTTTGATTGAGATTCAACGGCAAAAACATGTACTCGATAATAGCAGATCGACATTTTCCCCTTTTCGATTAAGAAATTTATTCTCTTTAACATGTAAAATTTTGTAAAAAAAAACATTTAAATGATCTTTAAATAATATTATAGTATAGTAATATAATTGTTGATGTTACTTTATACATTATTCTCAATAAGATATAAGATTTTAGCAGTTTGAAGTTTTAATATGCTAGCTAAGGTAATTACCTTAGAAAATCTCTTTGACTTAAAAAGATTTTAGCCACAACTTTAAGTGTATCAAATAAAAAATTCAGAGTATAGAAAATATAGTTTAAGCCTTTTATAGTTTCGATAAAACTTGCCTTTTGTATTGCTTTACACTACATTATCTAATCGAGATTTATAGAAAACTCACCAGGTTGCCGTAGTTGTGAGTGCGGATCATGTTTGATGCCCAAAGCGTTCGAGCTGTAACCTGCAAGCGAAAGCATTGGAAGAACGCGTTTAAATATATTCAAATTGTTAAATTAAAAACCTGTCCGCCCTGTCAGTTAACACTCTCAGTCGAACAATCAAAGGCAATCGTCAACTCAACCGCAACACAAACATTATCTCTGCGCCGGCATCAAAGAACCCAACCCGGCTGAATGGCGAATGGCGAGGTGCCCGAAGGCAGGACAACTGTGACATGAGCATCGCTGGATCCCTCAGCCTGCTCATAATGGAATATGATTGCAAAGAGCGAAAACAATGCCGCTGGCAATTCAATTTACAATCTCGGCGCGTTCAAGTTGTGTGACAAACTTCACGCTTCATACTCAAATAAAATTAAAGCCGCAGGCGCAGTGAAAAACTGAGGACCCTGGGAAGTACACTAATAAAAATAACGTATAAAAATGAACCAAAAAAAACTTTGACTATGAAACATTTTGTAGAAACTAACGAATAAGAATGTCACAGAGACCTACACATAATGTACAATTGGAATTGCTCCAAAATTTATTTTATATTTTTAAGTCTTAATATTTGGTTAAGCAAAGCCTGATTTTAGATTTTAGGAAAAATTAGTTTGATTTACAAATTGAAAGGTAAATTACACCCCAAACACGAAAGCAGAACATTTGGTCGTAAAATTATCTATAAAATTAACACTTGAATAGATACCGCACTATTTTTCTTCAATATAATATATAACATCTAAATTTTCGATTTCATCTGTAGTAAAAACCAAGTATTTAAGTAGTTTTTTCGCCCTGTAGAAGGCAGGACATTTGCTGGGTGGTTCATGCACCGCCCGCTGTTGTTTTCGTTGTCACTTATTGTGCTAAAAAAGCAGCAACAACGACAACTTTTCATATGACATTTTTGGTTTTGCGCTTTACGTGGCCACTCAACTGCGAAGAGCACAAAAGGCGACCGATTGCAGCAGCAGGAGCAGGAGGTAGTGGGTGGGCTTGTTGTGAATGGGTGGTGCGGTGGCTTGGTGGCTCGGTGGTGCAGGTCCCAGCCTCAGCTTGAGTTGAGCACCAGCTCTAGCTGTGCACAATTTTGATGTCATCAATGGCCAGCAGCTAAATGCGCTCAGCCAAGCTGAAACTCTGTCTCTGTTTCTGTCGCCCTCGGAGTGTGAAAAATATTTTGAAAACTCTCAGATTTAAAACCGCTTTAGGCGATCCTTTTGGAGTGGGTGTCAAAGGACAAAGGACAATATAATTTCAATTAGTGTGAGCCATAACTAGCCTAATAGCGCTTAACCCCTCTGATCGCTCCAGTGCCCATTCAACAAGCCTCAACCCCGGGAACACGTGTAGTCCACACCTTTTTCAGCCCTTTATATCTATTTATCTATATATATCCCCCAACCGAAATGTCTGTCAATATTCCATTGATGGCTGGTTGATTTGCTTCAATACATCTATCAGGCGCACATTTTGCATGCCTCACTGGCTTCGGTTCGTGTGAATTTCCATCACTTTTGGTTTCGTACTTGATGTCATGTGTGTGTTTTGCATATTTAATGTTTATTTTCGGGTTCCTTGAGTGCCTGCCTGTGGGACATAATTTGCTGTAATTTCGGGCTTGTCTCCGAACTTTCTGAGTATATTTTATGGCAATTTGTGATCATTGAAACTTTGCAAATTAGTCATGTTTCTTGGGGGATTTATTGCCACAGACTGCCGTTAAGATGGATTTATGTAAAAGGAAATGGCAAATTGTAGTTGCATATTGAAAGATACTAAAAGTACACAAATTTGCAAGAATCTGTACAAAAAAGTGTCTTGAATCTTTTTGGATTTTCGCCAAACATGTAAACTATTTAGATAAGTTTACATTAGGTGCAGAATTCCGAAAACAAATAATGCTTCAACTTTACAAACCTAGTAACTTCAATATTTAGCCATGTTTATTATGATGCATAAAAGTTATAGTCTTAGTTTCTTTAAAAAAATTGTATTATATGTTAAGAAACATTCAAAATGTAATTAGTTCACACAATTCTTTTTGGCTTGACATTAACTATCACTTAAAAAATAATTCAAAGCTTTCTTCTTTCGTTGCTAATTGTTTTAAGATATGGAATTCTATTAAATAAAATATTTATTATCTTTAATTTATTTGGAAGCAAACAGACGTAGTTTTTATTTAAGTTATCCCAAAATCACAGCGAAACCAAGGGCTTAGACATGGTTTTTAATTATCGTCACAACTGCTTTTATTTTAATTAAAATAAGTAAAATAGGCAACAGCTAAATAATATCACTAATATCACAAGCTGAACTTCTAGATCATGAATCAGTCAACTTTAATTGTAATTTTTCATATAATCACTTAACCAGAACTCACCTTGCGATTGTGTCGAACTGTGGGAGCCCCACGACGATTTGTACGATGAATCTGTAACAAGGAAAGTCCAACGATTAATAAGTTTTAAAGACGCATGCAAAACTGCAGAATAGTGCGATCTATCAGCTACCCGACGGCAGAATCTTAGGGAGCTAGTCATTATCAAATGGGCTAATGGGCTAATGGTCTAATGGTCTAATTACTTGGATTCCAGGTGGCGCCTGAGAGGACCGCCGCGGCCGACGGTCGGGCTGGCTCACACACCGCCCACTCACCTGCGAAGAGCATTGAGAAGTTGCTGAAACTGCCCGTGGAGCGTGACAAGTAATCGGCGGAGGACTTGATGTCCAGCATTGTGGCCGCCGTCGGTTGGGCTTTCGGTTGCACACTGGGCTTTCGTTTGGGTTGCGTTGGATTGCTCCGTTCCACTCCCCGCCAAACAAATTAGTTGAAATTTCAAATTCAAATTGCTATTGGTCTCTGTCCTCCCTTTTCTGTTTTTTTCTCCTTTCTTTTTTTTTTGTTTTTGGCAAACGGTAAATTGGTCGCCGGAGGCCGGAAACTAATAACACGGAGACGGAGACGTCGCCAAGTGGTGTCCGCAATTGAATTTGTTTAAAAAAGGGCAGCGGCAGTGGGCAGCGACTGGCAGCGACGCGCAGCGGAACAGGAAAAGGAACGGGAACGGGAAAAGTGACGATCGGAACCGGTTACCGTTTACCGGACACCTCGACTTCCGCCCGAACTTTCCAATGCACTTTTCGACCTGCCTGCCGTTCGCGTGTCCAACTGATTTATATGTGTCAATGTCCCCGCACGTATACGTGATATTTCGTTCACCGTGTGTGTGTGTATGTGTGTTTGCGTTCGTGGGTAGGCCCAGCGTAAATCGCGTAAATCACTGGCGACTAAGAAAGGATGCTCCTGGCTAGGACTATCGGGCTTGAGCACTGACACCGGATTGCGTCCGATCTGTGGCACGGCAGCGTAACAATTGATTTCATTCCGTCGTCAAATCGCGCATATCCTGCCTTCGTCCTGCCTCCAACCCTTAGCGCGACTTGAGGCCGTGGGGGTGGCTGGTGGTTGGTCGCTGCTCGTTGCTCGTTCGGTGGGTGGTGGTGGGTGGTCCGCTGCCGCGCGGGTGTGTATCTATCTGTCTGGGTTGGTCGCCACTGCGATATGTAGCTGCCTCTGTCGCCGCCGCTGCCGCTGCCTGTAGTTCAGGATATACTTAGGGTTTTAATCCACAGCCACCCCCTCGACTGGCCAACAATCGGACCAATCAGCAGTGAGTCGAGGTGTGGCCTAGCGAAAGCTTTGCTGCAAAAAGCTTTTTACAAATGGCTGTGGGGCTGAGAGAATCCTTGGAGTTTCATATTTCAAGCCCAAAATTTCTAATGATCTCTTGGGTTTTGAGTTTTAAACATAGAGGACCCAGAAAAAACTTGAAGCTTTTCAAGCTCATTTGGGTTCGCTCTCTGCTCTAGTAGGAGGTTACCATTTCCACTTGACTAAGGACGCGCCGCAGGAGCCCTGACTCCGTCTCTCTCGGGTGCGAACTAGTGCTGTCTCGCTCGCGGGCCACTCAATGCAGCCGCTGCCGCTGCTGCTGCCGCTCGTGCTGCTCCTGCGGCAGAGCTTCCAGAAGTGGCATCGCCTTTTTAGTGGGTGACACGAAGCAACAAGGACGGATGTATTATCCACTTCCTTTTTCCTTCCACCAAACACAAGGATATTACCGTTTCGTCGTTCGCCTACAACACCACCCCCGCTCCCTCGGCACAGCGCCACCCCAAAAAGGGGAGGTGGCATTGAGAGGTTGCGGGCGGCTTGGGAGCTTCGGGTGGTTCGGGTGGTTTAGGGTGGCGGGCAAAAACAATGCGCGAGAAGTTGGAGTTGCCTGGCTTTCGTAGGAGAAATCAACAATAGTTGATTGTGAAAGGCTTTGACTGCTCGGCGGTTGGGGGTCAGGTGGGTTAAGGGGGTGGTTAAGGGGGTGGTTCAGGGGTTGGTTCAGGGTGATGCACATGCGTTGGCGTCGACGTCAACTTAGCTGCAGCTGCTCAAGTGCAATTGTGGCGCTGCCCCCCTCACAAAACTCCTTCGCCTTCTGCTTGCCCCCTGAAGCAGGCAACAGAAAATGACAGGCACAACTGAAACACACACATAATACCTACACACACACATACACACCCACACCAAATGACGAACTCATCTACACAGCTGCCTTTTGGGCTGGCTTAATTAATTTTTGAATTCCCATTGAAATTGTTTTTGCCGAGTCTTTGCCGCTGGCCATGCGAACCTCGTCCTTTGCAATCCTTGTGTATCCTCGTGGGTGGCCGGGCTAATTCATAGGCGTCAACGAACAAATTGTAGTTCCTCACTCACACAAACAGGCGAAAAGCTTAGCTTGATTTCATTTTTATTGTGCTCTATGTTTTGCCCTATTATGCTCTTTGAATACCCTGAACAAATGTTGGAGCTCACATAAAATTTCTAGATGAATTTAACTAAAGAATGCAATAAATCAAATTGTATTGGCATCTCCTTTCTTTTATTTGTTAAATAATTATGAGCCCCGACAAAAATTTGTTCTAGTTTGAATATAAAGTTATTCTTTTCTTTTCTTTTTAATTATATTTTGGGTAATTTTAAATATACATCTTTATCTTTACAGAAATCTATTCAAGCATGTCAAACTTTTTTTTCTCTCTATTACATTGTTAAAATTAAAATAAATTATATTGTTCAACAGATCTTTAAGTGCTAAATTAAATTTAGTTGATAGGCAACAAATTAGTTAAATTATGTTATGTTATTTGTTTTAATTTATTTAATTTTACTGGTAGTCCAGCATAATGATTATTTTGTCTTGAGCACTTCATTATTCCGTTTTATTTCTTGTTTATTTTGCAAACAGGAGTAGCAAATATTCGATTATTTGAACTTTTATCTGGCTCTTTCATTTTGTTTTAGTTAAAAACTGATTTCGCTTTTCAGCCACACATGTGTACATACATACAATCAAAGGGAAAAGTTTAGCAAGTCAAGGCAACTTCTGTTGTGTGGGTGTGCTAGTTTGTGACTCTGCATGGGTGTTGGATTGTATGCGTTGCTTTGACACGCAGTTATTTAATAAATGTGGCTGGAGGGGAAGCCCCCTATTACCACCCTCACCTCCCAGCCCTTTAGCCCACCACCAGCTCTCAAGAAGTGTGTGTGTGTGTGTGTTTGTGTGCTAATGGCATCTAAAATGGCTAAATAGCAATTTGCTGTTCTCTGCCAGAGGAAAACCAAGTTTCACTTGGCTCAAAATGTTTGCTCTGCCAAAGCAAGGGAAAAGGAAAAGCTGTTTTTGTACACCGGTCCCTCCTATGTGTGTGTGTGTATATGTGTGTCTTAGCTTGGCTTAACATTTTAATTGCATTCATTATGTAATTTCATTTTCTCGCTTTTGGGCGAAAAACTTTAAATTAATTTCTTTTGTTGTGTGATTTCCGCCATTTTGCGCCGCCGTAACATTTCCGCCCCCCAAGTTGCGGTTTTTTTGGCTCGCCCACCAGTCCCGCCCACAAGTCAAGTGTTTTAAGTTAACTTTAAGCCACTACACATTAGCCTGCTCCATCTGTGTGTCTTTGCCTACGCCAGCAACCGCCACCCACAAAATACCACTGTCCCATCAGGAGAATCAATGCATCAGCTGCCTGTCCATTTGTTTTGTGTGTGCAGCCAAATATTCAACGGAGCATCAAGACAAACATGACGACATCACCTACACTTAAAAAAAAAAGGAAAAATAACTAAAATCTAACATTTCCTATTTTGATTGTAAAAATAAAGAATTATTAACAGGAAACTGGCTTCGTTACTAACTCAGTTTTAACAGACAAATAAAAATAAACTGACCATAAGCTTTTGCTTTGGATATCAATTATAAAACACTTAAAATAGAAACAAAATAAAAATTATCATTAAAAAACAACAACATTTTCTTGTCTTTGTGTTTGTCTTTTAGCTCAATGTCTCTAAAATGTATTTGTCTTTAAAATGTAATATTTCAAGTCAATACTTAATATCGCTTTTAATTATTTATCAGTCATATACTTTGTTATACTTAAGTATCATTAATACCTGGGCCAAGATTTAAACTAAGCCTTTTATATTTTCTCTTACTCAAACTTCTAGCTTATCATTATTTTGTAATGTGTAGTGAAGACAGGGAGCATATTGTCTCAGCCAACCACCCACAGCAGTTAATAAGAAACGCAATCAGCGCCGCGATTTGTTTTCTCAAGCCTGAGGAGACAGAAGGAGACGGAGATAGAGTCCTGGACAGACGGAGAGCTGCTAATATTTATGCGCCTTGTGCAAGGCTGGAAACACTGAAATGGCCCTGCCTACAATAACAACTGGAAGTCAGACACGTGGCCATTAATGACGTATGAATGATGTAACACGCGATGGAGACTTTGACGCGGCACGTGGCCAGCGGCCTGCGAGGCATGACAAGCGAAAAGATGCCCCTGCTCCTGCTTCTGCTACTGCTCCTGCTCCTGGTTCCCCATTGACTCCTTGCGGGTCTTTAATGTCCTGGTCCGCCCCGCCTTCATCGCCACGGATTGCTCATTTTGCCCGCGGCGAATTTCGCCTTGCGCTGTGCATTTTGTTATTGGCAAAATGCGTATTGTTATAATCGGCATAAAAATAATAAAAATACAATACACCCATTTTTGTATTGCCTTGGTTGGGCTGGTTCAATATTTGTTAATCAAATGGGCGGCAACTGCGGCGCATAAATCAGTTTCAAATTGGCAGCTCTGAAAGTTTTTATTGAGAAAGCGTTCAGAGGGTTAAGTGCGAATAAGCAGTGAGGTCTAATATGGTTAGGTAAGGACAGAACGAAACTAAAAATCAAAAACAAAATAAAAATGGTTTGTTTGTATATTTATAGGAAAATGTTATAAAAAAGTTAAAGAAGGATTGTAAAATTTCAGCTACAAGCTATTTAAATCACCTTTAAGAAAATTATTATAAGTTGAGGCTGATTAAAAGTTAAAAAGGAAATCCGTTGCTTTAAGCAACTTTACAAAGAAATGCATTTTAACACTTTTCACTTTGTCTTCAGCTATGTTAACCAATTTAGTTATGATATGACCTTTGCACAGTAAGCTATTATAATATTTAAATTTAAATATTTGTCCTATAAGCTTTTCAATAATTCCATATTTTAACGTTTTAAGCAGAACCTTATCTCTTAAAAAGTTCTTTATTTGTTAAACCGACCGCTCTACCTTTCCTTTGTTTTACAACTATTACACCTCGCTTATCAAGTGCACCAGATCTTAATGACTCCCCGAAAGTGGTTCCCACAAAATAAAAGCAATGTCGCCTAGGAATTCACACAAACAAAGCGAACACGCCAAATCAAACAAACCCTAACCACAAAAATGAATACCAGACCCACAAATAGAAGTGAAAATTGTAATAAAAACAAATTACGAACACGAACAACAAACGGCAGGGCAAAGGAAGTTCTCACAGCGACATATTGAAGGTGTCCTCGTGGCTGTCTATCTAAACAATGCCGGCAATAATTGCGCGATTGACAAGGTGGGTGGCGGGGTGGTATGCGGCGGAAAAAAAGGGAAGGTGGAAGGGTCACACGGACGAAGGGTGCAGGGTGCGACTCCGATTACCACCGTTTGACTTTCTCAGATAATTGCAAGAGAGTGCCACGAGCTCGTTTATTCTATTCTCCTTTTTATGCCAAATACTCCGTACTGTAAAAGGGTATATATGGTTTTCGTGGATATGTTTATTAGAACTTTATAATTTTATAAAATATATTTTTTCTGTTTTCTAAATAATTCTTGATTTCCGACTTATTTAATCAAAAGCAACTTAAATTTGCTTGCAAAATTTTTGATACAACAATCAATTATTGATTATTTTGCTAGGTATTGATTTAAAAAAAAAATATATATGTATATAAATATAAGAAATTGTTATTTGATTATATTCTGTAGCAAGGATTTAAACACCGGGTATCTCGTGGTCTGGACATTCCAGCAAAGACTTCCTGTTTGTATTTGAAATCTTTTTTTTTGATTTCTTCTAAACTGAAAGCTAACATATTCACACGGCACACCCCGTGTCGTGCACCCCGAACCCTGGAGAGAACCCCTAACCCCGCACCCCGCGCCACTTAAGAGCCAATGACAACAAACAGCAAACAAACAATTAACAGTGGAAAAGGGGTTGGAGGCACGGTTCACGTGCGCGGCCAGCTATAAATTACCGCGGTTTGACTCCCAGCGACCCTCGCTGTCAATTGATAATGCGGATTGACTTTTTGGCGGGTCAAGGGTTTCCACTCTCCGGTTCTCTGGTTCTCCGATTCTCCGGTTCTCCGGGTCTCACGGTCTCACGTGAGTTGTGTCACTTGAGATAAAAGCACGGCCAGTGTCGAGGTGGCGGCCATAAATTCAGCGAGCTCATAAATTCAATTGACAACTAAATTGCGGAGCGCTGGCTGCCGAGACCGGAGACGCTTCGACACAGCCACCTCCGGCTCCGGGTGCACTGCGTTTCCGCCGTGTAGTTGGCCTGGAGGTGCCCGCTTCTAAAACTTTCAAGTGCGCCCCGCTTTTCCATTTTCCTTCTCCCATTTTCTATATATTTTCCTTTTCTGATATACCATGTCGGAAGCGGGTCATTTCCAGCGGCATAAATCACAAAGGGCGGCGGACTTCGAAGGCGGAAGCCAACCTGTTGCGTTCGCTGACAGTTTTCTATTTCAACTGGACCGAAGATTTTTTAATTATTTTTGCAAAGTTTTACGGTTTGCCTAGGCAAATTTGTTTGCCTATCTTTCGTCGATCAATTCGAAAATACAAAAACTAAATTAGCCGAATATTTTCCAGCTTGTTGCCGTCATCTTTTTCTGGGGGGGTGGACATGGTTGGGCCAACAATGACTTGATTTATGAACGACTCGTGCTGAAATCTCCTGGGGGAGGGTAATGACTTGAATCGGCAGTTAAGTGAACCGCGAAAAGGGCCATGAATAAAAATATTTGGACATCAATAGGCGCACACATGAGCGGACAATAGAGCATGGGAACCAAAAGTTTTTCCAGTCCAAGTTCGCCTTTTTCCTTCTCACCAAATATGCGCACTTTTTTTTCTGCCATTTTTTTGCAACAACATTCATAAATGCTAGTGAATAAATTTAAGCGCAAGCGTCAGTCCGCGAAGCTGTCAAAAAGGACTTCATCGTCCTTTGGCGCCAGTTGGCACAGCAGCGTTTTCAATTTATTTTCACAGCCTGAAACAATTACGGCACAAAAAAAAAAAAATAAAGAACAAACTGTGCGCAAATGAAATCAGAAATTAAATTTCAAGTGAGCAAAACATACGGCGCAGAAGGACAGAGACGGGGATAGAAACAGGACGACAGACGGAGGGAGGCAGGACGAAAGGACGCAATGTGGCGCTCACTTGTGGGCAGCAAAGGCCGAGGGTGTGGCAGCCACCCGCTGGGCGCGTTGATGAGGGGCGTTGTGGGGGTGGGGCCAGCCTGCGAGCAGATTATGTGATTACGATTAGAGTTGAGCACTTCGGGTGAGCCACCAGCAAACAAACATCACAGCGACAGATGATGATAGACATCGAAAAATATGATTTTGTAGGGCTCGCAACATAATTAAAATTGATAAAGTTAGGATGCCCAGAGTGGGAGATACATTCATGAAATCCATTTTAAACTTTTTGTTTGGATGTGTAAATAGACAAATTTTAAAAACCAATATCAATTTAAATGTTCGGTAAAATGCTTAAAGTTAAAATATTTATTTGGTCTCTCATATACTTAGCACATTGATTAAAAAATACTTGTTTAAAATGGATAAAATAAAACAAATGTAAAACCATTTACAGATTTTTTAAGCCAAAACAATTATTTCGTATAATTTAATGGTAAGTTAATCAATACCATTTGTGGTTTCAAAAATAAATTAATTAATTAAAAAATATATACAACAGGAAATATATTTGAATACTACAAAATTGTCAAAGCAATAGATTTATGTAAAGCCTTAGCCAAAAGAGTTAAAAGTATGATACACAGTCCTTATTCAAATTAAAGCAAAATGAACACGTAAACCCAATTTGTTCGCTTCAACAAACCATAAATAAACAAACATATCTTTAATCAGGCCAATAAAACAATAAACTCTATCAATTGCCACTCGATGAGTTTAACGATGTCGTGCTGCCGTCCTGCACCCTTTTCCCATTATGCACACCTAACCGCTCAATTGTCTGCGCCGAAAGAATCCCACACATCGATCCCCTCCCAGCCAATCCATAGATACTCCATGGAGAACAGTATCTACCACGCTGTCAGCGGAGTGTGCGCCCTAATGCGCTTCACATAACATTTTGATCATTTTATGATCCGTCGATTAGCCTCATTGTCCTCGCTGGAGATGCCATCCCTCGAGCTGGTCGAAAGGACTGGTAGACAGGATGTCTGGATGAGCTCGGGGGTTGTCCTTCCGAGTGAAGTGTGCTTGAAGGAGCGTGTGACTAACACGCTTTAATAGGATTAGCGCTGAAGAGCACTTAAGAGTCAAATTATCAACGGGCAGTCACAGATTCACGGGCAAAGCCAGCGAATGTTGTGACTGTTGCGTTTTGTGTGTTTACAGTAGGCAGGAACAATGAACATAAACATAAGGCCTTGACAATTGTGTGCCAACTTTCCCACTGCCAAATGAACTCAATTGCAGTTCCCAGAGGGACCTGGCACAAAAGGTTTGCAGCACAACCCAGATTACGCGCATTAGTCAGGCTTTGGGCATTAAGTCAAGTGAGCAATTGAGTTATCAAAATTGGAAGATACCTTAAAAGGGATTTGAACACTCCGTGGGAAGTAATACAATTTTTAATGAATTATATTACTCTGATTCTAGTAATATTGGTATTTAAACGTAAATATGAAAACATTGTAAGTGAAAACGATAAAAATATGGATTAAAATACCATATTTAGGTATTAGGTCATTGAAATAAATTATTACTGTTTCTACCCAATAAATCTATTAGTTAAATAGAATTTATGAACATTTTCAACGTAATTTAATAATTCGGAAAAAGAATTTATCATAATTTATTAACTTTCAGTTACATTTAAGTCGAGCCTAGAACATTTTCTCGAACCGAAAATATAATAATAAAATGCATATTAAAAGACGAAAAAAAATGTTTAGCCATGCTACTAGTTTCTTTGTATTTGATTGCCAATCCAAACAAAAATAATAATATGCTAAATCATATTGTAACATCCACGTTATATTTTACCTTTATTTGACTATCATAAACTATCTATTATGATAGTTTCAAGCTTTAATTAACTAAGATTCTTTTAAAAATTCGTGTTTTATCAGAGATAGTACACTCAAAACAAAGTTTAGTTTTTATAAGTGTGTCTTGAAAATTAACTGCAGACCGTAGTAAAGTATAGGTGTACTTTTAGTTAAAGTTCTATAATGAAGGGTTTAAAACTGTAGTATAAGTCCTTATTTTCCTACCTCAAAAGTTTTATTTTGATAATTTCGTATTAATATAGTACTCATCTTATTGAGAAATTTTTCATAACCAATAGTTTAAAAACAATGTAAAAATAAATTAAATTCTATGACAATTCGTTCGTTGGGTGTATAAATATAAATGTTCCGAATCTACACATATTCCAAAGTCTGGTTTTCTGTCTTTTAAATAAATAACATTCCCCGATCCACCCCTTGAGCAGGGAAATCCTTGCCAAGGACTTTCCACCCCCAATGCACACAAGCGCCACCTTTTATGTGTCGAAGAACACTTAGCTTGACACCTTAAGGTTGATGTCCTGACTGAAAGCTGTCAAAAGCTTAAAGGACATTTAGACATAATCACAGTTTTGAACTTACACAGTGCAGAGCCGCCTCCTGGTGCCGCTCCCCCTCCCCCTGCTCCACTGCTGCTGCTGCTCTTACTGCCGCTGATCCTGCCCTGCTGATGGTCGCTGGTGGAGGAAGAGGACGAGGGCACCGCCGTGTGCGAGGATGTGGTGGCGCAGTCCAGCGAGGATTTATCTGCAAGGCAAAGGAGAAAACAAAAAGATATTTTAATTGCCAGGCAGCGAAAATTTGCACACTCAGCACGGCATGCTTCGCCTTTTGCCACGGAAAGGAGCCGTACAAAAAAGTAAAAATAAACGGCTAGCCGGGGCTCATAAATCTCGGCATAGATAATTGTCATCACAACTAGCGACTGGTTTATTTATGGCTCGAATTATGGTTTCTATTTCTCTGCCCCACCCCTCAAAGGCGTCACGCAACGGCGCTCGACAGTCACCCTCACTCCCCCCCTTCACCCCATGGCACTGCTGACAGATCCTGTGAACCGCAAAGGACATAATCGCGAGGGTTGTCACTTCACAGACCAGCGATGGAGATGTTTAATTGCCGTAAATCTTTGTTTGATGTAAACAACAATAAGCCAGGCGGCGAGGAAAAAAAATTGCAAGAGGAATTTGCTACGCTTTCAATTGAAATGTCAAGCCGGATATGATACGAGTCCATGATAATGATTGCCATAAAGATGATGGGAATCGGTTTCCATCATGAGAGCTGTCTGGAAACGGACAGTGTCATAACATGTTCCTCTGACTTGAAAAAACATTAATTCAAATGAGAACAGCTTGTATAGTTTAAGAATTATTTATTTTTTATAAATTAAATATTCAGGTAAAAATTTAAACTCGTTCAAAGAAGATAATTACTCAACTATATATATTTTTAAATAATTTTTTGATATAAACAATATTAATTTGGCTTAAAACATACTGCCATGATTGTTAAGATTAGCCAAGTGAATCAATTAATTTATTATTGGCAATTGCCAAGATATATATTGTATTGGTCTTAAATAATTATTTTCCTTTTCTTAAAATATACTCAGCAGATATGTGAAAACGGCTTATAATATGATTAAAAACTATGGTTATTTTAGGACATAACAAATATAAAAAAATTTATTACGTTATGAAAATATATGTATCTTTGCATTGACTTGGCTGCAAAGTGTAATTATTTTTTATGCGCCTCTATGAGCCAAACGTCTTTTGAGCAAAAAATAATGAGTTACGCATGACAAAATCTTTTCATGGCAAAGCCAAAGCGGCAAAAACTCAGCTCCGACTTGACATCGACCACAGAAAGAGACAGCCAGAGAAGAGATGAAAGAGATGGGGGTGTAAGGAGCAGGGGGCGGGCTAAAAAGGATTCGTTTCATATTTGCTTGAGCGCGTCGAGTAGAGATGGAATAAGATGAGCTGGGCGGCCATTTTGTGTCTACCATTTGAACAGGCAGACTTCAAAAGTTGTCCCATGGGAATGAAAATGTCCTTAAATTTGCGATTAGAGCAAAAGTAAGATAAGGACAATTTAAGAAAGAATTTTTTTATTCAATTTTGAGAATAGTTTTTCCGTGAACTACTCGTCCTTCAGCCAAAGAACAGACAAGCAAGGCCTTGTCAGTCTTTTCTAATTGAAAACGAAGCAGAAACAGGACATAAATTTGCCAAAAAAGGATATAAAGAAGAAAAGAAGTTTTCTTATAGAAATAAATGGACATGGACAACTTGACGGTCGGAGGCGGCATAACAAACTCTTGCCAGGCACGCGATGAAATTGTTCGGTTTTTGATGTTTCTATCAAAACCTGGCAAGGACCGCAAACAGTCAACAGCAACCGGCTTCGGGCCGCATTATAAGCCACATCCGCTGGCCCGGCTTAAATTGATAAATATGTAACCAAACAAAAACGAAAAAAAGAACTCTGAAAGTATCATAGGAATAGAAGCCGACCCCGGGAGACCTCAACGTTTATATGGATAATTCAATTTAAATTTTTTGCCCAATTTTTTCTTTTCTCGTTGTTGTTGATACAACAAGCAGAATTATGTACATGGCTGGTCGCGGTTTTTAGCCGTTGTTTTGGCCATTAAATGTTACGGGTTCGGACATATTTGGTGGTTGGTCAACTGAGGAGGGGGCGGCGGGGGTGGCCGTTGGCCAACATATGCTGCTTGGATGTGTTTAAATAAATACGCGAAATTTGCCACTTTTGTGGCACAACATTTTCGGCTGCCTTTTTCTCGCTTTGGTCCGTTTTGCCTTGGCCGGAAGCGCAGGATTTGTTTTTCCGCCATTTCGTTGACATTTTTGTGCTAGACAATTGCGAGAAGGTCAGTGGGTTGGTGCACAGAGAAATATATTTTTTTTTTGTTTTCGTTTTATATATATTATTTTTATTATCGACATTGTGGTCGAGAAGATCACAAAAAATTGAACTTTGTAGTCAATAAGAGGTTTTATAATTGAGCTGCTGAATACAAAAAATTAAAATGAAAAATTTGTTTGTGAAAATACCAACATTTTTAGCTTTATAAGTGGGTGATTTGAATATAAGTCAGCAGAGAACCAACCACTACTTTCTGTACTTTTCATACCCATCTTAAGTCCAGTTTTATCCTGAAATTTTACAGCTTGTATTCATTAATAACAACAAAAAATAGTTTAGTTATGAAAATTAAAATGCTCGAAATAATTAAATAAACCAAGAAGTATTTTGAAGAATTCAACTTCCAAATTTAGTTCCTTAGTCAAAGGTTTAAAATGAAAATTGATATATTAAAAAAAAAAGTATTTTTTATTACAAATTGATAACATTTGTTTTGATCTATATTTAGTAAAGACATTTGTAGCTACTGTTTTTTCCCGATGTAAAATAAATAACTTCTGCCACTTTATCTTCGCTTACCTGCCCTGACTTTGTGATCCACATGCGAGGAGCTGGACGCTGTTAGCGATGGCAGTGCCGGAGCCGCACTCACCGCATCCAGAGTTCCGGACGTGACCTGTCCGGCACTGGACGTGATGACGCCGTGCTGGGTGCCGGCGGGTGAGCAGCCAGGCGGTGGCTGCAGTGTGTCCAACCGGTGTCGCTGCACACTGTTCCCGCTACTGCCTAGCACTCCGGCCGTACTGCTGCTAACCGCATTGTAGTTAAGCACCCCGGCCACGCCCACGCCCACGCCCACTCCGACTCCGACATTGGGATTGTGTGGAAGGCCTAGGCAATTACCAGCCCCATTCCCGGACTGAACGGGCAGGGTGTCGAGGGTGTCTGTCAAGCGCTGGCTGGAGTAGATGTCACTGCGGTTGGAAAAGGACATTTGATTTTGTAATAGGCAACTTAAGTAGTTTAAAATATATAATAATTAACTGTTTAAAATTAAACAACATTCTATAAAAGAGAAATTAGAAAGGAAGCGTTTTAAAAAGATCTAAAATAACAATTTACAAGTCATTGGGTTATATCAGACAAAAGTCTAGGCACAACTAATATAATATATAACTTAAGGATGCTCTTGAGAGCAGTTTTTCATGCTTAAAATAAATATATTGGTGTTCTGGTTAAAGGGTTTGGGCCAGTCTGATTGTTTCACAAAGGCATTTGTGTACAGAACCATCTTTATTTAACTATTTCCAAAAATCACTATAAAACAATTTGCTTATTATTATTATTATTATATAATACTAAGGTAAATATGTTAAGAGAAGAGATCGCCGATAAAAAGTGTTGAATACATTCTTCTCAAAATAATGAGTTTCCCAAATAAGAAAATAGCTTTTATATATAGCTAACCTGAAGGCACTGCTGGCCCCGAAGAAACTGCTGCGATCTTGCAGCGCCGCCTTGGCCTTTTCGACGCTCTGCTTCAACTGCTCGAAGGTGGACTGGTGGAAGCGGTACGAGGTCCAGTCCGGCGAGCACTGTCCCAGGGTCAGGCAGTCCTCCGTCTTCACCTGGGCGAGAGTGGGCGGCGACACCCGCTTCAGGTCCAGCGCCGTCTGATACGAACACGAATTCTCGTACATGGCGCACGCCTGGGGAGCCTCGATGGCTGGCTGTTGGCTAAACAAGGGATTCCACTTGACTCTGCCGGAGAAATGGAAAAATATAATAAATAATTTAGAAAGTTTCAAAAACAAGAGCCCAACATTGTAAAATATGTCTGATCGCGTTTCTCCCATTAGGCACAAACATTAATAAAGGCATAAAAGAAACTTAATGTTATTAAATATTTAGCTAATCATATTTAATATTTATGCATAAACTTTAAATCAATTTCACAAATCAACAATATGATATAAACTAAAACTTACTTTTAAAGCGGGTCTTATATCGTTTTTCAATCTCTTACTTAGATAACAAAAGAAAGGTAGTTTGACAAGCCAACGCTTAAATACACTAATTGTAATAGTGAATTTAATCACATGACACTTTACTTAACTTAGAATGGCACTAATTTTAATATTTGGTGGAACTAACAGTTATTTATTTATAAGTATATTATAAGTATACAAATTGTCCATCGCCTATGTTTCGTAGTAAACTTGTCCAATCTAATTCGAATTTGATAACATTTCTAAAATTATACATTCAAACAGACACGTTTTTGTTCGGTTTTACCGGTTTTATTAAATCATATAAACTGTAAAATTGCTTTTAGTTATTCCTTCTTGGGCATACTCTTAATTGCTTTAAAGTACAACTAAAATCCATCACTCACCTCATGGCAAATTATAGAACTAGATATTAATAAATCATAACGCCTCGCCCACAATTAAAGACTGCTATTTTGAATTGCCTTTCGGGCCAAACAATCGCTCTAATTGCCATGGCTTCAACACGTTAAGCGAGTTCCCCCCGAGTCCCCGAGATTTTCAAGCATAATTAATAGTGGCTGCTTTGGAGCTGCGGAGCTCCCTTAGATATAAACACGACGTGCATAATTATCTGGCACGTAATTTATTGTGTGTACAGTCCCGCTTTTGGACTGGGCCAACGTTGCGTATGAGCGCTGGACTGTGCGTGGGTGGCGGCCATTTGAGCGTGGCTCTCTAATGTCCAGCTGGTCTGGGGGCAAACCATTGTTTACTGGCCCTTTTCGGCCATTCTGTGCAGTTAGCACACAGGGCATGCAAATTTTTGCACTCTGCCCTCGTCGGAAGTTGCTGGATTTTGATTTATGCCAACGAAATTTATGCCATACAAAGTGCGACTTGTTCTGTCTCTTCTGGCTTTAAGTTCCCCAGCAAACCCGAAATAGAAACCGAATCCTGGCAGCTTTAAGTTTTTAGGGGGGGAATAGATTTCGTTATCGTAACGGCCGCATCTACAGAACATCATCAACTTTTGCCTTGTCAGACATTATAAACGGCCTGCACACGCCTCATTTATTATTTATTATTTGTACTTGGGCCGAGGACTTGCGTTAGCATGTAGGCAAATTTCACCAGCAAACATTAGCAGGCAGACATTTTTATTTTTTGATATTTCCCAAGTTATCACAATCGCTGAGTGAGCGCGCGCACACCGGAAATACGAGCGGGATGCCAGGATGTCGGTCTGCAGATGGGCTGAATGCTCGTCCCGCTCTCCAACGCGTGTTGATTTTTTTGAATGCCAGTTCGTATACTGCGATTGCCGAGTTTACGGTCTTCGATGGTCGTCAGCTAGCAGCTGTTAATGGTGTAATCCCCTTGTCGAACGAGAGATCCTTTAATTAAAAGGCCACACGTTTGGCTGCCCCTTAATGGTTTGTAAGATTTTTATGCGTTTTTCGGAAATTTGGATTTTTGAATGCTGTCACTGCTCTCTGGCTGCTGAAACTGGTGAGCTGCTTAATTGTCGAGCTTATGCCGATGCTGCTGCTCATTTGCTCTGTTTGCTGGTTTATGAATACTTCCCTTCTACGTCTGCTAATTCGATTAGCAGAAAACATATGTCACAGAGTGATTTGGGGTAAATCGAGCTTTTTAAGGGGGCGAATTACTAGCATTAAGCAGAAATTACAATACATTGCCGGGATTAATGGTAGTAAAAATAATATATATTTTGTAAGGTTAATTGTTACTACAATACAAAACACAAAAGAGGCTCTGTATTTCTTACATTTGTTAATATGAGCTCCGGCCTTTTTTTGTTGCCTTTTCTGGCTAAAGAATATCTTTTAGTTATGAGAATTTTCTAAAATATTGTAATGAAATATTTAAAATATTTAAGAATTTGTTCTTTTGTTTGCCTTTATATAGATTTATACCAGTCTATTTTTGAAGGCGATAGCAAACCGAATATAACTAAGACAAAATTAAAACATTATCCATTGGTCACGTTCGCGCCGTTTTGTTTGAATAAATATAGATTTAGTTGCATTTAATTTGAAGTTTAATAGATATTTAATACAATTTAGGAAATTGTTTTTTTATTTTTTTTAAAGTTTGTTATTTGTTGTGTTCAAAATTTGGGTAAACAAATAATTTTGATATTGACTTTTCAAAACAATTAATTATTATCGGTTCCTGATATTACTATATGTTAGTATGGTCAAAAAATAAATTAATTGGACCAAGCTTTTAATTTTTGAATACGCCGTCGGATGTTTATTTTTACCTTACAACCACTTTGTAGTTGTTTAAACACATTTACCAGAGTTCGCTGAAATTTTTGTATGTCCCCAAATATAATCATAACTCACCTCAGGATTGTGCTTGTTTCTCTTATAAAGTTTATCCAAAAATAAGACTCCTCTTTGACTGTCTATTGTACTTCCGGCGGGCCAACTTGTAATCGTAAACACTTGAGTATCGTTCGGGGGTCCGTGCAGTTAATCACTCACTCACTCAAGTGCGTATAAATTGGCGACCGGAAATGAAATTATTGTCAAAATGGCGACGGATATGCGACAAGTGAACGCGACAACGACGCGCCACGCGAATGACGGTTTTGTTTGCAGTCAAAGTTGCTAGTCCTGGAGCGGATATGCAAGGGAATTTGTCAGTGCAAGGACGACGACGACGCCAAATGGACACCGACGGCAACGAAGGCGGCGGGCTCCTTGGGCATTTATCGATGCCCTTTTCGCACAGGTGCACAATAGGTGGAGGTGGGCGGTAGATGGGCCGCAACGAAAGCGGAACGAAAATGAAATCAAAAAGCGAAATTTCTATAATTTCCGCACAAAAATTTCCGCGACACACTGGCAGGACACATGTGTGTCCTTGTCGGTTTTTTGTTGCCACGCCCACAGCCAGCAACAAGCTGGGCGTATGTGTCCAAGTTTTCCGCACTCCTTGTCGAGTGTGTGTTTTGTTTGTTTGCTTCTTTGCTCCTCTAGTGTGCCACTGTTTGTTTTTCTGTGTGTTGACCAAGAAATGTTCTCGGAATTGGTCCTTTTTCGCGGGTTATTGACTACGTGTGACCGACGAATCTAAACCGCAAAGTACCGCTATTATGTCGTCCGCGACGTGTTGCACTTGGTAGCGCGCACTCCAAGTTAATGTGGCGGCCAGATCATCCCGTCCAGTCCACGCTCAAAGATGGCGACACACTCCTCCCCTTAGGCGGTATCGTCCTGTGTGGGCTGGGGGAGGTGTAATCAGCAAGGATGTCACCCCATCGCCCTGCGTTCCTGCGGTGACTGATGCGCAGGCGCGCTCTGCGCACCACCCCCACCCACTTTGCCGCTGCCCTTTTATCTGCCGCTGTCATCGGCTGCTGCTCCTGCTGGTGGGCGGAGCCAACTTTGTTCCACCGGGGACATGACTGTGGATGCTCCTGCCTTCGCCGGGTCCTTTGCTCCATGTTCTTGGGCATCATTAGTGCTGCCGAAGAGAGGAGACCCCATTTCGGGCGGAAGTGCGTATGAGCAATATTTTAACAATGGCGTTTAAAACAGTTAAAGAGCGTGTGCTGGTGTGCGAGGCCATTAGGACCTTAGTTTTGCGGCCGCTTTAAGGCCCCGCAGATAAGCTCGAATAATACCATTTTAATTTCAAGCAAAAGTGGCCACAAAGGAGCCCCCAAGATCCCCAGATGAGCCTGCCAAAAAGGATATAATTAACATGCCAGTTGCTGGAACACACACATGTGTTAAATGACTTTCAGATAAGCGGTGAGCACGGTGACATGATTTAAGGTCCTGCGATGGATGGGGCCGGATAATTTGCGATAAGCAGGGTTGGGTGGGGGTGATTAATATGCAGCCTTAAGATGGAAAAAGCCCTCGAAAAGTCTTCTTATCTGAAATGAAGTTAATGAGGTAATTTAAAGAATTTAAAAATGTTCGAAGTGTAAAAACAAAATTTGTTTTCGAACAACGAACTCTTATTTATAAGTTGGATTTCTTAATAATAGTAAACTAATCTATTTTTTTTGTATAAAATTGTTTTCAAACTTATGTGTATTTCATATAAAATATTACATTTTTTCATTCAAGAACATGCTTTCCAGGATTAGAAAAAGGAACGGTTCAAAAAAAGCTTTTCGACGTTGCTTTACAGTCCCTTAAAAGCTTTTAGTAAGTAAACAAACCCAATCAAAATATGTAATGGTTTTTCATATACCAAATAAAAAAAAATGGCTATGCTATGTAAAATGATATAGCTTCAGATCTGCAAATCTGTAACCACTATAACGTCCTCAAAAAACCATAGAAATACAAAAATCTTCAATATTTTAATTGAACAAAACACACAAATGTACACTTATCACAATAAGTTATGCCGTCTACAACTTGTATGACATAAGTAGTCGCAATTATGAAAATAGTCTGCTTAGTTGCACTTGATCAGTTTAGCCAGTGATAAAAAAGTTACAAAACGCGAATGGGATTCAGCAAGAATAATGAATGTCTTGGAAATGCAGATGGAATTTAAATAGATGGGTGCAAAGTCTTTGAGAAGTAACTTGACACGCTTAAATGCGGCTTTTGGATCCCGATTTAACTTCGAATAGTTTGCGCACAAAGAACACCTGAAAAGAGGAAATAATTAAAGAAGGAATTGGAAAACAGTAGAGTTTTCTTGCCTGTACAGAGCACGTGATCAATATGACCAGGATTTGGCTAATCGAGAAGGTTTGAATATAAGCATTGTTGTCCAACAGCAACGCATAGTCCCGCGACTCCCGATGTCTGCTGTGAGCCTGATAGCCCATCATATCGTTGATATTTCTCTCCACGGTGCCGATGGTGGCCTAAATAAATAGATCAGCATGAGTACTTTCAGCTTTTTGGGTGGGTCCCAAAACCCGTTTTCACTTACAGTGAAGTTTTGCATGTTCAGCTGCAGCTGTTCGATCTCCTTGGCGTACTTGTCCCAGGCGTCATACTTCACTACCGTGATGTAGATGTTAACCAGCTTGCCGGCGAAACGTGAGAACTGGTTGTCGATGCACACGGAATAGTAGCCGCCTGGCGAGACCTGGTCGGTGTAATCCGCAGTAGCCTGCCACTGGTAGGGCTTCACTACCTCACCAGAAGGATTGCGAACAGCAAAACCAGCCATGCCATCGCCTCCTCGCACGACCTGTTAAATGGATTAGTATCAATGGTTTGAATACATAAAAGCTGAACAATTACTTTAACAATTTATAAGCATATTTCATTTGATTTGTGTAAATACTTTTGAATGTATAATTTTGTTTCAAATCGAATTATCCCAAGAGTCTCCACTTACACTGAATGACACGTAGAAGGTGGCTCCCGCCTTCACGTACTGATGGTAGCAATCCTCCTTACCAGCATCTATGTGGACCTGAAAGACAAAACAGACTCCCGATAAATATGATCCTCTGGGGCAGTCTTAAACGCCGCACCCACCTTGTAGTCCATGGCCACCGCCGGAAGATTCTCGTACCATGGTTGTTGGGCTTCTTGTGCGTTGGTTACGTTGATTAGCAGACAACAACAAATCACGGCCAGGGGAAGTATAAGATTAATCTGATCTCTCTGCCACGTCAATTGCATTGTGGGATTTGTGTTCGTCGGATTTCTGGTGCCTGGATGGGGAAGATCTCTAAGAGAGCCTGGCTGCCGTTTCCTCTGCGCTCTCTGTCAACAAAATGGGATTTGCACCGGTTAGCTAGCTTTCTATTTGCCAAATAAACATAAAGTTTAATAAACCGAATTCAATAAACAACCGACCTGTTGCTTAGAGGTGGACTTTTTTGGTATCTGCTCTTCTAGAGCAGGGTTGCCAGACTATTGTAGGTGGCAGTACTTTTCGATAGGGGTGGAATTTCTTTACAGGAATCTACAGTTGGTTTTATTAACTGTACATTTCATTTAATTTGATACAAATTTACTCACATATTCGAATATTGCATGACACAAAAAATTTAAATGCAATAAATATTGGGAAGGAAATCAATTTTTAGATCAAAATTGTATTAAATTAAAATGTATCTATAATTTAAAACAGCGGCTTTTTATTTAAAAACATATATAATATTTGAACAGGCACCCCTTAAGAATTTTTGCTACGCCCATGTGCTCACAACAGCCGTGTTTAAACAGGTGTGGCAACTTTGTTATTTAAACTGATTAAAATAAGTTAAAGGCGATAAAAAAGTGAAGTAAACAAGTCTAATTGAGCGGTGAATTTGAGCAGTGAATTTAAGCATTACCTTAAAGATTTCCCATGGGAGATCCCTCTTATCATAGAACTCTTGGTCGCAACCTTGTTGTGATAACACCATTTACATATGCTTGTGTTTTGTTGTTTGCGGCTTTTTAGCGATAATTAATACCAATACACATACGCATCGAGTGCTGATTAACCTCTACGGTTTGGAGAGGGTCAGATAAAAACGCAGTGCAATTGGCATTCGCACTCATTTCCAGCTGCAACCCGATCCAAGATGGTCAAAGTCACGGAGGATGTGTTTGCCACCGGAGCAGTGAACCCGTTTACCAAATCGAAGGACTCCATCAAGCGGTTCACCTTGACAAATGGAAATGGAATGTCCGTCCAGTTGATCACCCGTGGAGCCACCATAACCAGCATAAAGACTCCGGATGCCAGCGGTAAAATAGATGACGTGACTCTGGGATTTGATGACCTGGCGGGCTATCAGAGTGACAGGAATCCCTACTTTGGAGCCACCATTGGTCGGGTGTGCAACCGGATCGCGAATGGCAGTTTCCAGCTCGACGGACAGGTGGTGCAGGTGTCCAAGAATCGGGACAACAAGTTCCAGCTGCATGGCGGTTTTGTGGGTTTCGATAAGGCCCACTGGGAAGTGGTGGCAGTGCGTCCGGATGGCGTAGTCCTATCCCACACCAATCCCGACGGTCACGAGGGCTATCCCGGCAAGGTCACAGCCACTGCGAGCTTTACGCTCAGCGAGGACAACTGCCTGCATGTCCAGATGAGTGCAGTGTCGGATAAACCCACGCCCGTGAATCTCACCAATCACTCGTACTTCAACCTGGCTGGCCACAAAGCCGGAGCCAATGGTCTCTACGAGCACACCATCGAGATCAATGCCTATGGGATAACCGAAACGGACCAGTCCTCCATTCCCACTGGCAAGATCACACCCGTTGACGGAACAGCCTTTGATCTCCGAGTGTCCAGCAACCTGGGAGAGCGTCTCAAGCAGTTGCAACCAGCCCGGGGCTACGATGACAACTTTTGCGTCACCTTTGACCCACCGCAGACAATGGCCAAGGTGGCAAGAGCCACCCATCCGCCCAGCGGACGATGGCTGGAGGTGGTCAGCAATCAGCCCGGGGTGCAGTTCTACACCTCAAACTTCATGCCGGACGTGGAGCGAGGTGAAGCGGCCATTCCCGGCAAGGATGGAGCTGCCTACGCCAAGCATGGAGCCTTCTGCCTGGAGACACAGAAGTTTCCCGACTCCGTGAACCACAGCAACTTTCCTTCGACCATTTTGCGTCCGGGCGAAAGCTACAATCATGAAGTAATCTACAAGTTCGGGGTTTCTCACTGAGAGTCGCGAACACCTTATCTAACCTACATACATATATACGAATAAATACCATGTATCCGACTAACCAAGCAAACCGTAAATATTATACCCAATAAACCGAAAGCACGAAGATTATGCAAAGTGGTTCGAACACGATGCGACCATAAATCGAGGGCAATCATTGTACACCACGAGCACAGTCCATATATAAGCTGCTGAATGGCTAGAGCCATAAATCAGTTAAAATGATCCTTCAGCTGGGCCTTATCGTTCAGTTCTCTCTGGGATTGGCCCAGGCAATCGGCTCCCTGCGAATTATGAATGGCACTGCTGCCAAGGCTAGACAGTTGCCCTACCAAGTGGGATTGCTGTGCTATTTTGAAGGCGCCATTGATGAACCTAATCTGTGTGGTGGTGCAATCCTAAGCGCAAAATGGATCTTAACTACAGCCCATTGCTTGCAGGATCCACATGCTAAGCTGTAAGTTTGTACAAAATATTTTATTAAACTTACATTGGCTATAACATTACTTCTTCACCTTACAGATCCAAAGTGCTAGTCCACGTTGGCAGTGTTGAAAATTTCCCTGGTGATGAAATCGTGGTCAACAGGAGCCACACCACCGTGCATAGTAAATTCGATCGCAAGACCGTGATCAACGACGTTGCTCTGATTAGACTGCCGAAGAAGCTCACTTTCAACAGGAATATACAACCCGTCAAGTTGCCTAGCGTTAAGAGAACCTATGCAGGTCGCATGGCCATAATATCTGGATGGGGTTTGACCAGCAAGCACCAGCCCAGCAGTGTCCTTCAGTACATCCGGGTGCCCATCATCGCGAACAAGGAGTGTGAGAGGCAGTGGAACAAGCAACTAAAAGGCAAGGGCAGGAAGGTCGTGCCCGCCTCCTTCATATGCATCGATTCCAGGGCGGGTCTGCCATGTCGAGGGGATTCCGGAGGTCCAATGGTCCTGGACGATGGCTCCAAAACGCTGGTGGGAATTGTGTCTCACGGTTTCGATGGCGCGTGTAGGCTGAAGGTGCCAGACATATCCACAAGAGTTTCGTCCCACCTCAAGTGGATAAAATATTACACTGGGGGTCTTACGTAATCTGGATCTGGAGAAGCATTAAAAATCGAATTTCTTTTCAAACGTGTGCTTTATTCTTATTACTTCATACAAACTTCCATACACTTTCTCGTTCTCCGTTCCATTTTCATAATATTCTTTTGTGGCTTTGCTAGATTTGTTATCGTTTCTTTATGTTTTTCTTTTCGATTTGTATGTGATTTGTGACTTTGACGGTGTTGCATGTCGTTTAAACAATTTGTTTATGATAATGTTTAGATGTTCTCGTTTGTGGGCTTTGTTTACGTGTGAGTGTGTGGTTAATGTTGCTGATTATTTGCAATTCTTTCGTTTTTTTTTACCTTACTTGTTCTCGCTATTTCGTAAATGCAGTTCTCAAAATGTACAAAAACCTAAATGGAAATGATACAATGAGTGTGAATGATATAATTTGGTTCTTTCAACGATTCTTTTAGTATTTGTCCTATATGTACAAAAAGTGTAAACGAAATTGTGAAAAAGCTATACAATTTGTTAGTTAACAAAGCGAATAAGTTGATAAGAACTCGGCTGAATAAATTAGTTTTATTTTCGTATTGTTGTAGTTTTTCATTTAATACGGCTGCTTGAAGACTTCAGAAAAATTTGTTTGTAACTAGCGTAAAATTTGTTTATCTTTCGTTTAAATATATAAAAATGCACATATTATCCGTAGTAAATAATAGATGTAAAGTAATTGTTAAATTGTTTTTATATTTTTTGTTAAGATTTTGTTTGCGGCTTGTCTTGTAAAAATGATCAAGTAATTTACTATGCGTTCAACTAGTTTTATTTTCGTATTGAAATATATATGCTTTATATATAATTTTGTAACTTTCAATATTGCGTTTATCATTTGCCTATAAATCCATAGAGTTAGTGTGACTTGTAACTATATGTTATCATAAATATTTATTATTACGGTGACCTGTTCCAATTCACAGTTTGAACCGAAAACCGAAATGGAATTTTGCGGCATTTTGGAAAAATGATTCAAGAACAGATATTCTTTCGTTAGTTAAAGTGTAAATTTTGTATGCGTTCCTTTCGTATAAAATGTTGGTTGGGCTTTTGTATTTTACTTTAACATACGCAAAATATATTTTGTATATTTTCCATGTTTCACTTAACTAGGGCATTATGTATAAGTTGTTATTTATTATTACTTTTGCTAAACTTTGCCTTCATTTTTTGGTTGTTTTCTTTTTTCCTTTGTTGAAACAGTAACTTTCAGTCATCTTGTAATCATAATAGATACATATATGCAATATTACATACGTACAATAATATTCTGGTTTCGTAATTTAAATTTGTTATGAGCGCCGCGTACAATGCATAAAAAACGCATTCCCTTTCTTATATAGTGTGTCGTGTTCGTAATTCACTTTCGATTAGGTTTCTCTCAATATCGGTTGTATAAAAGCTAAAATGTTTTCGCTGCGTATGACAAAGTTACCTATTTTACCGATCAGGCGTTCCTAGACCCGATACAAAAAATCCCCTCTCACAATTTTCGTAAAAACTTTCCGCTATCGCTCAAACTAAATTTGATTAGATCTTCGGCTTCGTTTTTCTTAAATTTTTTGTTTCATCTCCTTTTGGCAGTTATCGTTTGTTAGGTTCTTTTGACATGTTTGTGGTTGCTGTACTAGTTGCTGCAGCAATATCGGCTGAATATCATTGATTTCACGTATGTATATCTTCGTTATCATTAATTATGTATATGCTAAGCAACTAACATTGGACCATTTCCATTGCGCGACGCACTATATAAGAAAACTAGCTACTTGATTAATTTACCTTTATCCATATATATATATGCATATATTATATATATATATTATACTCGTATTTATATATTTATATCCGTATTATAACGCATTTACGTTGCGTTGCCTTATTATAATGAATTACGCCGGCAGCCGGGGCACTGCCAAGGAAAGGAAACCCATGGACACCGACACCCACGCCCCCGATCTCAGGCCCAGTTCCAGCCCAGCGGAAAAGTATTGTACAGCGAAAGCATCCATCCGGAAAACTGCCTCTCGATCAGCTGGCAAAGCTGCTGTCGCATGCCGACCGCCACGGCCACGACTAGGACTACGGCCACGAAAAGTCATCAGTCGCACTCCGGTCCCTCCGAGAAGTGACCCCGCACATCCAGGGCCGAAGCCAGCTGAAAGATGATGTGCGACAGCGAGGGGTGCTCCAGCAGTTCGTTCGCCGGCAGTTGGGGCTCGCATCGCGGTCGCATGTGCCGCCCCCGGAATCCTCGGTGCAGTCGGAGCACCACATCACAGAAGACGAAGCGCAGGATCAGGGTGCGCAGGAAGTCGTCGCCGAAGAACTGCACATAGGAGGAGTCTGAAAACAGAAATGAATTACATTGCATTTCTTCTTTTTTAATTGTATTTAGTTTAAACTAAACACATTAATTGTTATAGTTTTATCTCATTTATAAAATAAATAACTACAATTTAATACCATTGACAATTTATCGTTTCGAGCTTTTAAGACTAGATAATTGTTGTTATTTAGCAACCATAAAAGTTGATAATTGGATATGTATGTATATGCCATATGTCAAATGTCTGTTTTGGGATTAAATGGTAAAATAGACAAATGGTAAAATAGACATAGCTTCGTAGTTTTTAAATTTCAGTTGCTTCTAACTTTAAAAAAAAACCCATTTTTAATACTATTAAAATTTTCAAATATTTTTCAAATTGGAAAGTGTATTTATCTTGAGAATTCTGCGTGTGTTTCAACCAGAAAGGCTTGCTCACCTATAAATCCTATGCCCTGTTCGATCTCATCGATGCGACACCGTGTGACCAGGCGAGAGGCTTCCGTGATGAAGCGATCCACGTAGGTCTGGCAGCGTTCCCAATGGTGGATGGGCACGTCTCCAACGTTGCAGATGTAGCAGAGGGCGGTGAGCGGGGAGTGCAGGAACAATGTAAACAGCGAGCCATGGTGTTGGACATCAGCTACAATCGAATTGCAATAGTTAGAAGGGACTAACCCAGTAGTAAGTATAGAAGTTCTTACCCTGAAATGCGGGCGGCACATCCTGCGGCGACATGAGCACCACTAGCGGCTGGCCAAAGTAGCGCGGTATGTGCTGAAAGACAAACGAGTTGTCCGAGTCGATCACGACGAACATGGGTCGACGGGTGAACGGATATAGATCACCCGGATATAGGCAGTGGTTTTCCTTATACGACTTGCCCCGGCACGACAGTCCTCCTCCGTCCACGCTGTCCCGCTTAACACTGGTGCCCAGGCCGCCCAACTCGTAACCAACTGGGAAAAATAAATGTCACGGATCAGATAAAGGTTAAAATAAATATTAAGAGGATATTTATATTAATATATATTAATCCACATTTTTTCTCTTTAATAAATTATAAATAAAATATAAATATAAATATAAAAAAAGAGATGCACCAAGAATTCAAGACTTCGGCGTTGCAATATATAGTACAAGGCCATATATGTCAGTCAAAAAATGTAGTTCAGCAAAATAAATAATATTAAATCTAATTACTGGGACAAATCTGATCCACTAAAATGTTTAATATAATGTTGGCTTTTTAGCCATTTGAAACTAAGTTTCTTAACAGAAAAGATGAAAAATATGCCTATATGTTAAACAACTTTCAATATTAACCCTATTATAATTAATAATATCGAGCAACCAACCCTATCTATTGGCTTTGTACTCACAATCCTCGGGATGTTTGGTGGTTGAGAAGCAGCCATCGGCGGACATGTAGAGGAGCAGGGCACCGCCCAGCGGCAGTTCCTTGGTGCCGCTGGCGAGGAACACCAGCAGCTGGCTAATCGAAGGTTTGTACAGTAGATACTTGTGGGGATTGTCTCGAAAGGCCCGGCCGTTCTCCATGTAGCCCTTGGAGCCGGGCACACCGTACGGCGGTATCCGGCTGGCCGCCGGACTCGCGTCGTGCCCGTGGAGGCCGTGGGCCATGCTCAGCGGATTCGTGGTCGATTCCGTGGGCTCGCGCTCCAGGGTCTGCAGCATCCGGAACATGTCCATGGTCAGTTCCGAGAACTTGGCCTGCTCGCAGGCGGAGCCCACGATCAGGATCTCCTGCAGGCTGAGCGTCATGTGCGGCGATCGCTCGCAGGGCGGCGTCGTCAGCGGCGACAACCTAGAACCGGAACCACTGGACACATCAGTCGGGGTAGTCGCACTCGTCCTCAGGCGGATGGCGGGGCCCGTGCTTTCACAGAAGAATTGAGAATGCGGCGCACTAATGAGGTGACAAGGGTACGGGGGTGGGAGTCTGTTTCGGGGGATCAGGGACCAAATGATAATGAAACGATAATATCTTGTGGAGTGTGTGTGCAGTCGGGCAATGAAACTTGAATCCCCCACTTAATCAATAACTATAAGAGGTGTCAAAGAAATCACAACGGTTTGAAATCACATTAGGTGTCCAAATGTATGCAAGAAAAAAATGTAAGTAGTCTTTCAAAGGAAATCGACAGACTTTCATATTTGTTGCATACTTTTAAGCACTTTTTTAAATTATAATAATACCTTATGTATACCTTCAAAACATATTGATTTTTCTGGCACCCCAACAGTAATCATTTCTGGTTAAAATTGATAAATGAACTTTAAATTTTATGTTCAGCTTAAATTGCTTAAGTTAATATAATTCATAGAATCAAGATTAAAAAATTTTTATCTTTTGAAACGGTAATTATTTTAAATCATGGTACACTTCGAAACAGCTAAGCAATCCCCTTGTGTGACGTTGAATTTTTGTGTATTTTTACAAATATTTTCTAATGTTAAAGATATTTAAAAAGTATACAAATAATTTGAATCATTTCAATTTAATCTCAAATGACAACAGAGAAAAGTTTAAATACAATAAAGGTTTAAGAAAGTTACAACATTATTTAACAAGTTTTTCATTATTAACAAACTCAGCAATTTCATGGCCCAACCTGAATTGTGATTGGTTTGGCGGGTGTTTGGGGACAGAGATCATGGTTAAAGTGCGTGACAAAATGACAACGGTGAGTGTTCTTTGGTGTTTCAAGTCTTCTGTGATAAGCACAACAAATGAACATAATCAACGGCAACGGAACTCAAGCAAAACTCGTATACCTACGCAAACAGAACAGGGCATATAGACATATGCGGACAGATAGAGGCTATGGCTATACACCTGGCCACCCACAAGCTGTCCAAACTCCTCCTCCGCCGACGAAAGCACGGGCAATAACGCGTGTACGGACAGAGGCTGTGACAACGACTCACCTGTGCGACAGGATGATGGGATTGGAGTCGGCGTGCAGGACGGCCACCGCCGCCTCCGCCTTGATGAAGCCCTTGATCTCCTCCAGCACCAGCGACCACTCCAGATGATCCTCCGGCTCGTAGCTGCGGGGAAATCTGGGGATTAATACGGAGTCAAAAAGTGGGCCACTATGTAATTACGTGTTGGTGTACTCCTGTATTTGTTTTTCCAGCTCCGTGACCAGTTCGCGCACCAGCTTCATCTTCTTGAGCAGCAGG